TTGGACCATACCATAAAAAAATAGGAAATTTTAATATTGAATGCATTATTCCCTCTGCATAAATAAAAATGGAAAGGGCAAAAACTATAAGTTCTTCTAGTAACTGGAACGGATTGTTTGCATTTGGTCTCAAAATGAGAGAAAACGGGAAATTTAACCCCAAAAATCGGAAAAATATATTAAGCGAATGATAAAGGAAGTCCCGAAATTAAATATACGCCCAAAATCTTGGGGCGTTTTCAATCTGGAGGGGAGCAAACTTTGTCTATTTAAGTAGGTAATAAAAAATCGTAAATACACATTTGCTTTCCACCTGAGTCGTAAGATAATTTGAGCACAAAATAAAGAAAAAAGGTGGCCTTTAAAAATTTGGAGCCGTTTGGCGTGACCTACACTCCCAAATTGTCAAAATAACCAGGTTATATAGGACAAACGGTCAAATATTTTTGCAGGCCATATTTTTTATCGATTTTGTGATAACATGATCTTAAGATCCGGATGTTTTTTTTTATAAAAGGGAGCCTGCACCACAGACTAATAAATCTTTCTATAAACTGAAACGCTCATATAATGTTTTATTATCTTTCAAATTATTTAGGGGAGCAACCGCCCCTTTCCACAGAGCCCTTTTCTAGGTACGGTCATGTTTAGTATATTTAATAGAATTTATTTATTATTATTTACATCGATTAACTACTATTTTGTAAAATATAATTAAATAAATTATTTTAATAAAAATAAAAGATAAGTTTATTGCTTAACCGGTTATTCAATATTTTCTTCAAGTCATGGTGAAAAGCAGGGGCGATTTCCTTTCACTTTTCCACATTTCTTTAGGTTAGTATGAAGCCATTTATAGGCCTATTATAACATGGAGAAATCGATAAATCGATTATTATGATATCAAAACACCACTTGTTTTCATTAATATCCCGTTGATTGTTCTAAAGCCATAAAATAGAATTATTAAAAAAAAATTTACTGATATTAAATTATAATGTATAAAATGAAAGCAACTAAAATATCGCATATTAATTTTTCTTTATTTTTTGTGGTTTTTGATAAAGTATCTCCATATGAAATTATAATAGATAATAATTGTTTATATAGATAACCGAGTTATTTAATTTTCATGAAAAAAAATTAAATAGAATTATAAAGTATATAATGGGAGTGTAATACATATGAGCCTTTCAGTTGACAGAATGACTAACTCCAACTTCAACATGTTTGAGTAGTAATTTTCAATTACGGATCCAGGATTTAATTATGGGAGGGGGCTTCAGCCCGAAAACTTTTTTACTTTCACTTACCTATACATGCAATATATAGTAAGGATAAGTATTACGATCGTGAAAATATTCGAGTCAGAGTTTTTAACGGAAATAATTGTTTAGAAGTCTCTTGAGTCCAAATAACTAATTCCCGCAAAATAGTCTGTGTGTGTATATCTATATTATCAATGTAGCTCAAAAATGAGAAGTTGTATAAAAGCGAAATTGCATATTTAAGGTTAGTATAAGCTTTCGATGTTACAGGAACATTTTCGGCTAACCGAATGTGGTACTTTATATAATCGATTTAACACATTTTTACGATTTTCTCGAAAACGGCTCGAACAATTTTGATTAAACTCAGTATATCAGTGTATTATTAAGCAGTTTTTAATATAATATAGTTTTTATTCTCATTGATGTTCTCTATCATGGCTAATTTTCAATATTGGTTTCCTCTAAAGTACCTTTATTTTTATTTGATATAAATAACCATTTCACGTTAATCTTTGATATAAAAAATGGTTAAATATAAAATATGAAAGAATTTTATAATTAACTAAAGGAGGAATAAGAGATCATAAGATATAATAGTTGAAATGGAGGAACCAAGAGAATACGAGCTCGCTCGAAATATTATAATAGGCTTCCATATGGAACATGAACTTAATATCATACAGAATCCGACAATAATATGTACATATACATATGTGGTTTTCAGAAATGATATCATTTAATATTTAAATAATATCAATGATATCACTGACATAAAAATTAAAATTTGTATATATAAGGAAAATTAAACAAATACAAATACTCACAATGAATTGTAAATAAATATAGTGGCAATAATTTTTACTTTCACTTCCCCTTTGTCTGAAAATACTTATTTCTGCTAAGAAGAGGGTGGTAAGTGAAAGTCGTGTGGTGCGCGCACCAGATGTTTTTATTTAAACATAACGATCATTACTTTGAAAAGAAAAGGAAACTATATTAAATGGTGTATTAGTGATTTATAAAGTCCTATTAAGATATTTTTTAAAATATTTTATCATAATACATGGTTATATATATATATATATATATATATATATATATATATATATATATATATATATTTATTTATTTTTTTTTAGTAGGAGGGGGTGATTAGCCCGAAAGCTCCCCCCGCTATCCACCTTTGGTCATTTTAATGATATTTCTAGCTCGAAAATTTACAATATCTGTACAGTAAGTTAATTCCAAACTAGTTTACTGCAGTGTTGAAACATAGAACTGTGAATGAAGGAATAAACTTTTCCATTAGAAATATCACTAAAATTAATAATAAAAAAATGTAAAAATTGGAGTTAGTCATTCTTTCAACTGAAAGGCTCATATATAGAAAGATAATTGTGAATGAAATGATATCAACATTACAAAAATGGAAGTAGATTTTAATTTTCAAAGCGAAGTAATCTATAACTAATAATACAAATTATATTTATTTAAAAAGGCGTTTAAGTATTGTAATACAATTAGTTCATTAGTTTATACCAATTAAGAACACAAAAACAGAATAAATAATGATAAATTTTTAAAGTTCAAACACGATAATTGACTATTTTGTCAAGATTGATCGGAAATATAAAATCATGAAAAAAACAGATAATTTTCTTTTTGAAAAATTTAAAAGAATTAAACTACTAAAATATAATGAAAAGAATTAAAAGAAACATCAATAGAAGAAAGGTGGTAAATAAATTCAACTAATAAAAAATAAATCGTTTGTATAATGTAAATTAAATTAAAAAAATAATAAAAAGGTGTATTTTGACGTTTCACAAACTATGGAATAGACAAATATGTAAATGTTATTTCACTACGGTACACTAGCGGATCCAGGATTTAATTTTGGGGGGGCTTCAGCCGGAAACATTTTTTTTCATATATATATAACGATAATTAATTTGAAAGAAAAAAGAAAGAAATTAACTACCTATATGAAATGGTGTTTAAGTGGTTCTTGAAGTCCTATTAAATGTAATTAAAAGAACAAGAATACTTTAAGAGATAGTTTTTAATATTATTTTCTGTAAAAATGGTTATATATTTGGGGGGGGGGAGGGAGGATTCAGCACGAGAGCCCCCCCATAGATCCGCCTGTGCTACGGTAGTATTATTGTTTCTTGATTTTGAAATTTTCATCTAATGTCGGTATCAATAGAAATAAAATAAATAGTTTAACAATAACATGCTGTAATTTAAGTTAGATAATTGTGTATTCCATAGTTTGTGAAATGTCTAAAAGAACCTTTAAAAGACAGCGGAATAGTCCCACAGTGTTTGCTTGGAGCCAAACAGTCTGGGCATAATAGAGGTCAAGAATTTCTGAATTAAGTAATAAAAATATATTAAAATTTAAACCAATTAATTAAATAAATCAGTAATAGAATATTATAGACGTTTTTATTGTACAAATATTTGTAAAAATTATTTTTAAATTACAGTTTGAACTTAAAGGAACAGAAAGATATCATTTTTTTGAGAGAGAATAACAGATTGATAACATCAAAAACGAAATGAATAAATACATAATTAACATTAGTCAAATCCAATAATATAATAAAATAATGTGAAAAACAGTCTTTTAACTGACGGTAAGAAAATAATTAAGTATTTACGATATTAAAAATAAACGAAACATTACTGATATTTAGTTCTACCTAACACAAGTAACAGTCTATAGAGTGAACTTATCAAAAATTACTCAGAGAATTATCTTTTGACACTTCGTAAGAATAATAGTCAATTATTATAACTTTAAATGTAATCAACTAGATATTGTTCAATAATTTATAAGACTAAGCAGAAATATACAAGTTATTTTTGATCTAAACTAATATCAAAGAGTTTAAATCATATCAGATAGTCTTGATAAAAACAAACAAATATAATAGTTCTTACCTGAGTAAAAGTGTGAGGAAACATCCAAAGCCACGACAGGTGGCAACTTCTGCAGTATACGTAACGGTCATTATAATAAATTAAGTTAGTTAATATTATTAATTTTATTTAACTTATCTCTACGAAACGTATCAAAATATTATTGAAACGGTAATCGTCAATTAACTAATAAAGATATCAATGAAAAGAAAAAATTATGTCAGGTCAATAACATAAAACACATAGCATTAACTATACTGTCAGCTAAGTTAATAACTTGTAAAAATTGACTAATACTGAATCATAGTGCGTTTACGACACATTAACATGACTATTATCAAATGTGTTAAGATAGTTGTATGACTGTCATTGTTAAATAAAGATTATCTACGTAAATTGTAAAATATCATATATCCTATCACGAAACACTACACCTAAGTACCACACTTGTCGGCACACTGAATGTTCTATCACTACGAGCCTCACTCGAAGGCTTTCCAAACGATATGAATTCCATTGGTCCGCTCAGCGCGCTGCCTTTTATATCCTTGCGCGCTAAAAACAAATCTCCAATGATTTAATTCAACTATTTTAATTAAATCACCAAATAAATAAAAATAAACCTCATTATTTAGTTAATTAATTACAAATATAAACGAAATACAATACTATGTTTTAGTTCCTTTCTAATTATCTGATCACGCCATATTTAAATCCATTTTGATTGTGGAATTAAGTCTTGGCGGGGAAAACGGCGGAGGTTTCAATGTTGGTTACTTTTGAAAGATTATAGTAATCATAATGGAAGATATAATAAATGATTTGATGATATTGTCATTAACAAAACACAAAAGTGATGACAACTTCAAAAAATTTCAGGATTATGTGGAAGGACTTTCTTACGAACAAGTAATCATTATTTGTCATTTTCTTTATGTGAAGATATGTGTTAGATATGTTTTTAGCTAGTCTTCCTTATATTATACTTAAATCAAATTGAATTTGTTCATAGGGCTTAACATTAGAAGTCATTCATCACATATACGTTATTTGTAAGCTAGTGAATAGTTCTCATCCCTATGTTGATGACTCCTTATATTTAATTTTTTTTTTATTACCATTGTGAGCTTACGGGGTGTTGAAACAGTTTCTTTCATCCGATATAAGTTCAGAATCAAAATGATTCATATATAAATTAAGTAAGACAAAGATTTTAATTTGTGCCTGTGCAATGATCGGTGTAAGAGGCATTAGAGCAGGTCTTTCTTATGGAAAAGTGTTATTGCTTCTTTTTTGTACATATATGAAGAATATAAAAACTCAATATTTATATTACGTAATATGGATAATGTTTATGAAAATTATAGCACTCTTCTGACACTGAATACATAACATTTCTAGAATGTGAAAATATCTTATAGTCTAAAGGACTCTTGTTTGGGGGAAAAAGATCATTCAAAACAGTCATGTTTGGTTGGTTGGGGCGTAGTGAATACCAAGAATTCTAAAAGAAACCAAATATGACAATTGTAAGGTAGTACGACAGACAAATCTGGTATTAATGTTATATGATTTTATAATAATATAATGTTACATTTCCTCATAATGGTCAATATTTCAAGCTACACTATGTATTGATCCTCTTAAATTTAAGATTTAATTTTATTTCAGATTGAAGATATCCTTTCAGACCGAATTTTGAATTCGGATGCACCACAATTAGTGAACAATATATTCTTAGGCTTATCTCAGAAAACTGCCTCTCAAAAGAAGAGAATTAAAGTAAGTTAATAAATTTTATTTTAAGTTGTTGGATAAATAATTTGTTGATTTCTCATTTCAAATCACTATCTAATATTTTAATAATAAATTTATTGATAAAATATAGTGTAAACTGAGTTTTAATCTTTATATTTGCTTAATTATTTTTGGTTGTTTTTTCAAGAGATGAAGTTTTTATAATATTTCTTTTGTATAGTACAACTTACTTATTATGTATTTTATTATAGTTTTTTATGTATCTCCATATTTATGATTTCTACTTTCATTCATATTTTAGTATATTTAAATTTAAAGTACTTTATTATTGCACAATCTCCATTTAATTTATTATCTTCTTTTATGGTTGTATCTTGCTTTGTTTTTCTTTGATAAAGGTAATGTAATGTGGCCAAAAATTTTAGCATCCATTAAAGGATGTTAGGATACTCAGATATATCCATATCTTGCTGTTTGTTTATCACACTCTCAATCATCTTCATGTTTATTATTTTTAAGGTCAGCAATGTCTCCACCATTTTGTTTATTATTTTCCAGATATTTGAACACCTGTTCACTGAAATTCATACAAAAAATATACCTGCTAAAAATGCTACCGCTATTGTCTCATGGCTTGTTATTGAACTTGATAAGATGTCAGTTACTCATCTTATCCGTATCTGCGATTTATGTGTTGAATATGTAGCTAAAAGTGAAACACCCCAGCAGACAAGGTTTGTTAGTAACAAGTTTATGTTACAATTTTTAAATTTAAGTTTTCTAACTTGTTGCTAGACCCTATGCTCTCCACCTCTCAAATAGACATCATTAAACACCTTAGAAGAGGTAGCATTAGGTAGCTGACCTCTGTTGACACAAAATACATTTAAAAATTTGTGAGATAATAGTAAAAAAATGTCATCAGTGCGGGGAAGCACCAGGTAATGCCCTACATTATTTAGCAGAATGCGACCGATATGCATCGCTTAGGTACATTACAGGTGATGGGGTAAGTGATGTTACAAAGCCAACATGGGTCCCTTTTCAAAAGGGACCCATGTTGGATTTATAATTTATACGTGTGTAATGGTTTTTATTATTTATCTCTTAGTTCTTAGTCATTATTCTAACAATTTCATTTTACTTTATATTTATCTATTTTATTTTTTTATTTTATTTTTTATTATCTTTTTTACCATCATTACTTATGTTTCTCATACCTTGTTATCTGGTTATTTTCTTAGCCCTGATGAAGGCCTGAACTTCAGGTCGAAACGTCGGCATATGTAAAAAATAAATATTATCATTTATTTTTGCCTTCCTTTTTGACTGACCACCCCAACTATTCTTCTCTTCATTTTATAAAAAATAATGTGAAGAAAAATAGAGAAGGAAAAAAAAAAGGCAATTAATTATAAATTGAGAGAAAAAAATATTGATTTAAAGTTTGAATTGAGAGATTACAGAATAAAAATATACAGTTAACATTAACCTGAAAAGCATAAATTATAATGTTATATACAAAAAAAAAAGCAACAAAAGAAAAATTTCCTTCTGAAAAAAAATTAATAATAGTAGAAAGAAATTTTAAACATTAATTATTTGAAACAAAAAAAAAATTAAAAATGCTGATAGTATGATATTTTTTATCATAAGGATTATTATAATATCTATATAAATAAAATAAATGTTTTGTCTGTAAATCAAATAGAATCATCCCGTTCCATGATGATATTTTTACTTTTCATACATTACAGACACCAAATCCACTTTTAAAAATTGTTTTTGTCTATCTGTATGTCAGCAATGGCTAATAGCAGATTTTTGAGATTTTGACATTATATTTAGGTTTGCTTGACTTAAAACATAGGCTTTAAATGTAAACAAAATATTGAGTTGAACCAAGGTTATGAATTCTCGAGTAATTTGTCTAGAGATCCCGGTTAGGCAGTTACTTTGATTCTCATCTCAACCTACTCTACCGTTAGCCACATTTAAAAGTTGTACTATTCAACTCAACAGGAAAAATCTAAACATCTGTAATGCATCGTCGCTTAAAACTGGTAAAACACACTCATTTTTCAACTTTGTCCGATCTTCCCGTTCAAGGTGTCATTTGATTCAACTTCCCGAGCCTAACAAATGTTGTCGTATAAATTTTTAGGATTAACCTAACGGATCAACCGAAAAAAAACTCCTCAAAATTAAAATTTAATCTCCTCCCCTTAATACAAAATCCATCTAAAAAAAAGATTTTCAAATTTTAACTATACACCCGTCAATGACGGGTACATCAGCTAGAATAATATAAAAGGTGTCTTTTTTTTTTTGTGTGTGTGTAATGAAATTGGAAGAGATGTTCTCTATTGAGTTGTGTAGAGAGGTCTAAACGTTCTTATAGGTAATGGAGGCGTTCCATTATAAATTTAGTGATCTCAAAATAAATTAACCTGGCCTGGATTTATGGAGATGGTGGAGCTTGATGGTAGCGATGGTGGTAGAGATTGGTGGTATCGAGGACTGGATGGTGAGAAGAAATAGGGTAGTTGATCTCTTATGAACTTGCGGTAGCTCCTGCTTTCTTGGCTTCCATAGGTTGACCAGACGAAGGGCATATTGGGAGGCACTATCTACTAGCTCTTAATCCAATTAATATAAACATTTGGGTGTTTATAATGAAAATAAATAGACACTCTCAATTCATTAGAATAGATTTTTTAATTTAATGATTTTAATTTAAACAAAATAAATATTTTTCTGTGACAATAACTATTTTGAATTTATAAAAAAAAATAAGTTAATATAACGGCCTTAACAATAAATTTTGATGGAATCTGAGCATAGATTTCCTCTATCTATCCACGTTGAAAGCCTTTCTACTAATATCCTTATTAAATTAATCCTCAGGATACAGAAGAATTATGGAGTTAATAGCTCCATAAAAAACATATCAATTAAATTAAAACTGTGTGATCAATCTGAAAAAAAATCAGGAATATGCTGAAGATTTTTAATGGAAATGTTAGGAATTCACAGTAGAGTTTGTAGAAGTTATCATTAGTTATAATTATTTGTTATGAGTGAGTACATTTGTGTTTTCTTATTTTATTATGCCAGTTGGTATATTAGAAGAATGGGAGAAATTTTAGTTGTTTTCTAATTTGTGTGTTTGATATGTCATGTTTTGTGTTGTAATTATCCTTAAGATGAAATATTCTTTCAGTATGATTAATAAGAATATCACAAAATAAAATTTTCATATTATAAATTATATAAGATACATCTATAATAGGAAAGTAGCTGAGGTTTCAAGTATGCATTGACGCATCAAATGGGTTTATTATTGCATGTTTGCAGAAAGGTTTCTAATTAAGAATTAGTCAAGAATTACAATTTCCAAAATCGGTAGACACTATTTAATTATAACTTATATGTGTATTTCTTGAAAATTCTAATTAAGAAGTGAAATATGTTAATGGTTTATTAACCACATGCTGAGGTACTAAATTATATTTTCTTCCATTGATTTAGTTGGAAGGATATCCTGCCAAAAATTTTGAGTTTGCTGGTTGGTAAAAAGGAAGTTGATCATTATGGCAGTGAAATGTCTGGAGAAGAATACAAGAGCCAAGTTATAACAACTTTAGCTCAGACCAAATGGCATAGCGAAATATTGTCATCGATAGCTGACATGTTTATGTATGTAACTTTTAATGTATTTTCTTCATACTCATGATCATGGCTATTTTTAAATATTAAATAATGTCTCATGTTTTTTTTTTTTTTATTATAGGCACATTTCAATGACTGTCGAAGAACAAAATAAAATATTAGGGAAGTTTTTAACAAGTATGAAACATCTTAAAGCTTCAGAAATTCCACCATTTGGTCACAACTTGCTGTTGCTCAGTAAAACAAATGGCATCGTATCAGTATTGTTTGCTTTGAATAGCTATTATCATGAAAATTTGTACAACGATGAAGGAGAAAATAATGAAATACGTAAGTTTATTATTAATTATTTTACTCATCTATCTTCTGACTTCTATATTTACTATATTGAAACAAGTTTAGTGCTATTGCAATAGTCTACATACTGACAGTAAGAAAAATGGACATTGAACATCTGATGCAAGAATCATATTCTTTTGACTAAGGCAACTCATTCATAAAAAAGTCTGCCAAGTAGCTTCTTCATAGCTTCTTGGTATATTTCAAGGTCAATGTTTTTGTTTTTTATTTAATTTAATAAGTTAATAAACTTTAAAGGATGAAAAATTTTTAGTAAAATAATTCTGGGTTTTTTCATCTCTGTTAAGGTCGCCAAACTTAATATTTAATAGGCAATTTAGCTTAAATAACAAAGGATAGTCTACTGGGCCTATGAAAAAATCACCAGATGATTTTCAAGACAATCAGCTGATCTGAATAAGTTACCCACTCAGATTCAACTACTGCATTTGATATAATGCTACACCATACTGAGCAATACTCTGCCGCTACTACAGCGATGTATTGGCTTTTGGTTTCAATAGTATTTGACCACAAATTTAGTTCATTAGTATAGTAATTTACTTTTTTTTTTCTGGGAAGTTGTATGTTATTCTTTGTTTTTGGTAATGATGACTTCCAATTAAACAACAGTTGAATTTATTTGTTCTATTTCCAATTCACATGTTAACGTTTCGGGATATTTATTCCCATCTTCAGAACTACAATCCCAATGTCTTTTCGTTGATTCATGGCTAAAAAATTGAGTCAAAATATAGTGCATGTTTCAATACATGTCAGAATTGGGTTCTTACAAACCCCCAACAACTACTTATAATAACCCAATTCTGAAATATTGTAACATGCACTATATTTTGACTTAATTTTTTAGCCATGAATCAACAAAAAAACATTGGGATTGTAGTTCTGAAGATGGGAATAAATATCCCGAAACGTTAACATGTGATTTGAAAATACAACAAATAAATTCAATTGTTGCTTAATTGGAAGTCATCATTGCCAAAAACAAAGGATAGTAATTTTCAGAAATATACTTTCTATTACATTAGTATCCGCATGGGTTTATTGACAACTTAGTTGTTCTGTTTTTACCTCAAAAATTGTATTGTAATTTTTGTAAGCAGGACTTTCAAATTATCAAAATTCAACTGTATACATCTACATTGATACATTCCACTTTAAAATGTAGTTACAATATTTTTTTTTTATTATTATAAATTTGGCTGCAATAAATAATTAATTTTATAGAACGTGATAAGAAAGACCTGACTGAAAGCGAATGTGTCATGCTGTACCACATAGAAGAGACCGTGAAACGCCATTCGAGCGCCGCTGCGCAAATCCTTAAATATGCGAAGCTTAGTGCTTCTGCTCCTCACCTCTGGCTTCAGCCATTTCTTCTGGCTTCTCTTCTCACTCTTTCAAATGTACCTCCTAACGGTCCTCAGGTAATCTTTTATGAAAATCAGTTTTATCTGTATTGTGTTTTGAATAAATTATAAGTAATGTTTAACCTTTCAAATCTCTTCCTGACAACGATTCCTCATCACCAGATTTCCTACCTCTACCCTCCGTACTTCTACCAACCTGAAAATTCTCTTATTTTTCTTCTCCGAACTGTGATATTGTGTTTTTGATCTCACAAAGTTACTTAGTATAACATCAAATTACCAAAAATAATCAATTTTTAAAACATCAAATCTTACAAGATCATTTTGTATCTATAAAATTTGAATTTTTTATTGGTATATGTGGAATATACGTTTTATTATATTGAAATATTTTTAAAATAAAAACATAAATACTGTAAACCAACTTAATGAGTGAGAATTAAGTTGTTTTTGCATGTTGACATTGTTTCCTGTAGTTAGCATCTCTTCAAAATTTTAATTGATGTTTTAGCCATCTTGTCAAATTTATATTACTTTCATTTAATCTTCCAATGATATAATTGGGTACTTGTTTGCAAGAAAAATTACCTAAATTTGAGCTGTAATAGAATTCAAGCTATTAGCAACAAATATAAATTTGAGATTACGTTTAATGCAATTATACTCAACACTTATTGTGCTATACTTTCTTAAATATGACTATTTTTGGTAATATATATTGTTTGAAATATAATTGGAAGATGGTACTTCTCTGTTAGCGGGTAGAGTCGAAACCTTCCTTCTTATCTAATCTCGTTTCAGATAACCATCTCGTTTCAGATAACCTCCCTTATCGACCCAATCTCGTTTCTCAAGTTATTGTGTTCTTTAGTTTTTCTTGTTCTTTAGTTTAGTTGTTCTTTAGTATTCTTTAAGTTATTGTGTTGTTTAGTATTATATTGTGTTCTTTTGTTAATATTGTGTTGTTTTGTTTCAACTGGAATTATGGATGTTGTCACATTGTGGGAATTGCCGTCTTCGGAAGAAGAGGCTATCAAATATTTTCAAGACGCCGGGATATTTGATAAGGTGAAATATTGTGATTATTGTGATGGTCGTAAAATGAAGTTCGACGGGAAGATTAAATGGAGATGCTCTCGTAGGTGTAACAAAACCGTTTCTATAAGGAAAGGAACGTGGTTAGAGGGGTCCAGGATTTCTTTTTTGACGGCTTTAAAATTCATTTATGGGTGGTCCCATAATTTAACTACAATTCAGTGGGGGAAAGAGCAGCTCAAACTATCCACCCAAACTGTCGTAGCATGGAACAAATTTTTAAGAGAAGTTTGTGCCCATGACATGTTATACAGGTCGAATAAAAAAATTGGAGGGCCTGGCAAAGTCGTCGAAGTAGACGAGAGTCTTTTTTCGAAAAGAAAAAATCATTTGGGGAGAGTCTTACCTCAGCAGTGGATGTTTGGCGGAGTTTGCCGAGAAACAGACGAGTGTTTTATAGTTAAAATAAAGGATAGGAGAGCAGGGACTTTATTAGAAGCTATCAAAAACAATGTAGAAGAGGGAAGCACGATTTATTCCGACTGTTGGAAAGGATACAACACAAAACAACTGAATGAAGCAAACTACGACCATTTTCAGGTCAATCACACATATAATTTTGTTGATCCATCAAGTGGAGTCCATACTCAACACATCGAAAGATTATGGGGCTCAGCCAAGTGGAGGAATAAAAAACACAGAGGAACTGCCAGACAACACCTGGATTCATATTTATGTGAGTTTTTGTGGCGGCGGGCGCATAAACATCAGGATCTCTTCCTCGCTATTTTAAATACGATAAAATTATTTTCCCTACCAAAATAAAATTTTTCATATTTTGTTTCCATCGTTTATTCATAATCTTTGTTTCAGATGTACATATCCTGTTAAAGTAGTTTTTTATTATTTAATCCTTTTTTGTCTATTTTGGGCCTATTTTTATTATTTCATTTATTTTTGTATATATGTTGCAATGTTTTTGTAATGTTTTTTAATTATATATTTATGTTTTGGTATATATTTATGTTTTTACGATATATATGTTTTGGTATATATTTATGTTTTTCAATATATTTATGTTTTGGTATATTTTAATTATACCTTGTGAAATAAAAGTATTTTTAAATATACGTTGTGAAATAAAAGCATTTATTATTACATTTCTTTCTGTTTTTGTTCACAATTTCAATAATATCAATACAATACAATCAATATGAATACGAACACATAATAAAATGAATATAATACAATATATACAAATACGAAGAGCTTATCAGTGTTAAGGTTATAAACATTGGCGGATAGCAGTCGGACTCTACCCGCTAATAGAGAAGTACCTGGAAGATTAATATGCAACGTCTAAATGCCAGTAAACTATTCAACATAGGTAAGGAATTCTAAAACAATGTTGCATGCTTGATGAAGGTTTTTTTTTTTTGTGTGAAACAGTTCTGTGTGATTAAGAATGGTCATGTTTGAGAAGTGGGATCTCATGTTCAAAGAGTGGACGGAAGGACCATTTAATAATGTAAGGATGCTTTTCGTTTTCAAAGGACCAGAAAATAAAACGAACTAGCAAATACTGCCATTGGAAATTTGTATATAGCTACTTGAACTTTGTATATCAAATGGAGACAAGGGAACGTCTGGGGGCTCTGAAGATGAATCAAATACAACAATTCATTAATATCTTTAGTCTTATCTCCTCTTCCAGTTAGTTCATACAAGGCAGCCATAATCGAAATAGTCATAATATTTAATTAAATAATAAATTAAACATTTGCTCTGTGTTAGTTCTTAGGCTCTTGATGTGAAAGGTAAAATCTGTTGTCTGCATTCAAGTGATGTTAACTATTTCTGTTTGGATGATCTCTGAATTGGAGAAATGTTGATTGGTTATTTATGTAATGATTTAATTACTCAATTAAGCTTTGCTTTAGAAGCTTTCGATAATATCCTTACTATAATTTTCTTCTGTTTTCAAGTTTTTGCACTAATTAATTAATACATTTCATTTCATTTCATATTATCGTTTCTGTAGATATTTTTATTAGTTTCTTATTTTTAGGTTTTAGATCTCATAAAAGGTATGGTGTTAAGAATCCTACAAGAAGAAAATGAAATGCTGGAATCTGATTGGTTGAGAAAATTAGAAATGGATACTTGTGATGTGGAAGCTGTTTTTACAAAACTCATCAAAAGCAGGTAATTAATTGTTTTTATTATTGGTAATATGAGCGTTTCAAACACCTAATGATGTGACGGATGACAATACATTTTTGGTACGTAGTGTTTGTGGACAGGAAGGTGTACTTCGAGGTTTAGTCAACATGTCAATGTGTCTACTTGGAAAGACAAAAGATGGAGCAGGAAAAAAAGTCGCACGAATTGGAAGAATGATTGCTGTCAATCTTTGTATGAAACACCCCTATATTGCAGGAATTCTTATTTCTACGATAACTGATAGTATCATCGGGCAGCCCCATGTAACCCAGTTTACAGGTAATTGTGATGACTTTTAATCAACATTTATTTATATTAATTTTTAAAAATTGAAAAAACAAGCATCTATTGTTTATTAATTTTTACTAATCCATTAATAATTAGTCTTTCTTTTGAAATAATCAGATGTCATTTTTTAAAGCCTTGATAATGTTAAGAATCGTTAATAATAACAATTCATAATAACCTTGGTATATGATAATACTTTTTCACTTGGATTAATCATAAATAATTATTTACTAATCCTCTTTAGTTTGACTCAAATAGTGCAGAGTATGAATGCATGTCAATATTTTATAATCATACTTTCACCCACATATATATGAAATACACAGCAGGGATAGTGAAAATTTTCTAATCTGAGTTTTCAACAGAAATATATGTTTTAAGGTCTCCTGAGTTCAAATAACCAAGTCCCGCAAAATGGTGTGTGTGTGTATGTGTGTTATCAGTCTAGCTCAAAAACGAAAAATCGTATAAAACTGATATTACATATTTAAGATAGATACATGGAATTAAATATTTAAGGTTTGTTTATACCTTAAATGTTACAGCAACTTTTTCATCAAAATCGGCAAACCGGAAGTGACACTTTATATAATCAATTTAATACATTTTTACGATTTTCTCACAAACGGTTCTAACAATTTTGATTAAACTCAGTACATCACTGTATTATTAAGCAGTTTTTAATATAATGTAGGTTTTATTCTTGTTGATGTTTTCTAACAGAGCTTAAATGGATAATTTTCAATATTACCTTCCTCTAAAGTATTTTTAATTTCTTTTATTCGAAATAACTAACCATTTCACATCAATCTTTGATTTAAAAAATAGTTAAATATGAAAGAATTTGATAATTAACTAAAGGAGGAATAAGAGATCATAACATAACCTTTGTCTGAAAATAATTATTTCTGCTACGTAGAGAGTGATAAGTGAAAATCGTGTGATGCGCGCACCAGATTTTTTCATATTCTCATACTTCTGAGAGCTGAGTATAGTTTTTTGAATTACCATGTTTATTAATTTATTTTTCAGATTGTTTTTGTGAGCTGTGTGATACTAACCCATTGGCTGTGCTGGAATTCCCTCATTCGATCGGAAGATTGCTAGAAGAGCTGCCTGAGCTGCCGGAAGTCGCTGCTTATAGATTGACAACCGCTATCGTCTCCCTTATAAAAGTGTCTCACAAGATTCGAGATTCACTCATCCTAGTTTTAAGAAAGGCACTGTTTGCACAGTTAGTATAGTCTTAATCACTTTTTTTATTATAAACTTATATATGAGGCACATCTATCAGCCACTTACCATTATTTAATACCAACATTATTCTTTTTACTTTCCTACCTATACTAGGTAAGAAAAGTATTGCAATCCGGTCAAATTTCCGTTATGCAGTTTTCGACGGAACTATACGTTTCAGAGCCCCCTGAGGCCGAAAAACACATTTTTAGCCATTGGTCTGTCTGTCTGTGCCAAGATTTTCTCGGGAACTACTGAACTGATTTTGTTGCTTCTTTTTTTATTTTGTAGGGTTTTGACTACTGATAACTGTGACAGAAATTCGGTGCTCCATGCACAATAGCTTGCGCGTAATAAATGAAAAACATGCTTTTCTATCGACTGTAGCGCCAAAACGGCTCTAACGATTTTGATGAAACTTTCCTATAATGTTCTAATCATTGTCCTTTTAATTTTCGTATATAGACTAAATTCAGGAAAAAAAGTTACAAAGAAAAGAAAAATGTTATGGTGCCTAACTCCCTAAGTATCTATTATACGGTAAAATTTATAATAAAACTTTGAAAGGTAATTAAATTGCCAACAAAACAAAAAAAAATCATTGGAATCGAACCAGTATTAGCGATGATACAGCTTATTCTATTTTTTACACATTTTTTAACTTATTACTTTCCTACCTATACTAGGTAAAGGAAGTATTGCAATCGGGTCAAATTTCTGATCTGTCTGTCGTTTGAAAGGTAGTAAAATTCCCTACAAATCCATATAAAAATCTTTCATTTTGGACAACTATTAACGAAATTACAGCTATTCAATTTCCAATGTAAGAAGGTTACGGCTCTTTCTCTTTTGTTTCTTCGTGAACATATGTTAAGATATAAAACCTTTTCTGAAATAGGTAGGAAAGTCGAGTGAGTGGACACACCAGATATTTTTTTAAAACAAATTTCCTACTTTTTTTCAAAAATTTCTTTTGCTCCTATCTGGTAATTTCTTGTGTATGTAGAGAGGAGATAATTCTAGAGGTATAAGCAAATCTATTGTAATAAAAGCAGGGAAGTTGATATTCAATCCGTGGGTTTGCCATGAATTAAATTTTAAACCGCCCAGGCCGAATCCAAACCGGCACCACTGAATTTCAGAATGATATTCATTGTTGCTATAAATATAAGTTCATAACAAACTTTAGATAAGTTTTATGACCAATGCCTCATATATCTTCCATAGATAAACAGATAACAGCTATCCTAGTTTTCATCTATTTCTTGAAGATCTTTGATTCAGTTAATTATAAGATCCTCTCTGAAGTCCGAAATCTCCTTATTCAATGGCGTTTTAAAGTGGTTTTGTTTATATAACTAATTCAATCAAGTCTATTATTCAAAATGTGCTATTTTAATTATTTTTTTTCTGTGTTTTAATGCACTGCAAGTTTGTAATTAGAGAAATATTGTAAATTTATTATAACTAAGTAATGTATTCAAAATATTTTCAGCAACATGAATACTCGAAAGGTGGCCGTAATAGGCTTTCTACAACTTTTGAAAAGATTAAAAATGAAAGGATTTGTTACGCTAAGCCAGAACAGTTTTCAGACCTACACCTGCCCTAGTATATTTACTCAGGTAAATCTACTTTTATCTGTATAAATATTTAGAACTAAAAAAATTTTTGTTAGGTCAGTCTAATATCAGGAAAATTTCAATCCTATTCGAAAATTTTCTTTTATTTTTGATATTTTATGGAGGAAGGCTTTATGCTACACGATATCAGACTACGACCAACGATGCAGAAACCAGAAATGTCAATTAATTTGAAGAACTGTATTATACTAGCTTAGCTACCTGTTAATATCATTTGAAGTTACTTTAAATATCAGATCTGGTTTCGTCATAGCATTGTACACCTGCATTTTGATACTAATAGAAATTTTTGGGGGATTCCTTTGTTACCTTTGAAAGAGGGAAGAAAGTTCTGTTTGCACTTCTTATATGCTGGTCTATTTTTGACCATTGGTCTTTTATTGAGGTTATTGTGAAACAGCGGTATTTGAATTTTTCTACTTTCGGTAATGATTTCCCTTTTGCACAAATCCTGCTGCCAGAATGGAATTTGGCTTACTATTATATATTTTGAAGAGTAGGATAGTTGGGGTGATCAGTCAGAAAGAAAATGGCAAAAATAAATATTTATTTTAACATTTGCCGACATTTCGACCTAAATTTCAGGCCTTCATCAGGGCTGTTCAAAGATACTGCTTGAATAGAGTGACTTGACTCTATTCAAGCAATATCTTCGAACAGCCCTGATGAAGGCTTGAACTGCAGGTCGAAACGTCGGCAAATGTTAAAATAAATATTATTTTATTTGAAAGTTTCTTTATGACTGATCATCCCAACTATCCTTCTCTTCATTATTCATGACAGTCAACCATCAAACCACAATTATTATATATTTTGAACAGAATATTAAATAAATATTATTATTTATATATTTTGAAAATAAATAATAATATTTATTTTTGCTAATTTTTATTTTGATTGATCGTCCAAACCACCCTTCTCTCCAATTATTCACTACAGTCAACCATCTACCCTCAATTATTATATATTTTGTAATGTCTTCATTTACTTATTGGTCGATTTGTGCTGCTTTTCTTATTATAGTCTTAGCGAGTCTCTTAATTTCCTCTTGATAGCTTCTAAAGATAGCTACATCGTCTGCATATCCCAAAGAGGTTATGATTCATTCAATGTGCACCCCTTCATTTTCATGTGATGTTTTAATCACCTTCTCCATTGCTAAGTTGAACAGCATCGGCAAAAATCTACTTGCAGCAATCCAGTTCAAACTTTAAAGGTTTCAGATACTTCTCCGAAGCTTCCAGCTCAGTCATGATCTTCTAGAGACAGTTTATGTCCACCAAATCATAGGCTGCTTTGAAATTGACAAATAAGGTGTGCGCATATTCTGAGCTACTTCCCATCATTTTTAAGCTCTTGTTTTAGGATGAAAATCTTTTCTAGTCTCTTATTATTTGTTTGTATTAAGTCATAAAACTGGTCCAATTAATTCAGTAGATACTTGTTAAATCCAAATTGAATGCAGGTGATAAAATAGCAAGGTATAGATAGTTACGTTATATAATGTTTTATTGAAATTAATAAAAGCTTTAATGTATGTATTTTATTGAAATATTATTAATTTATCTAGTATGTGAAAATTTTGCTTATAATAACTGTAATTAGCAACACATATTAACAGTTTTACTAAATTTTTCCAGAATCGCCTTGAAGTTCACAGCCAGCAGAATGGTGCTATTAATTCTCATAACAATGAAGGCATATGTTTCGAAGTTGTGAATATTCTCAAGCGATGTTTCGTTCAACAAGTGGAAGTAAAACTTTGCTTGTACGAAGGTATCTAAAAAATAGACTATTTATTATTTTGATTGTGAGTTGATTTTAATCAAATTTATCATTAATTTTTGAAGCTAGGTTTTAAATTATGAGCTAAATGTAAAGTTATAGGTGATTGTAGTTAATTGTATTGTTTCATATGTTTAAGGAATTACACGAGCACTTCTTCAAAATCCAGAACTATGCCTTCCAACATCAGAGATTTTTCTGACTCATCTCAGTCAGTATTATGATCCCGATACTACAGTGTTACCACCACTAAAACTCGGTCAAGCAGTATCTATTAAAAATGATAAAGTTATTATAAATGTATGTAATATTTAATTTAAATTTATATTATTTTTCAACATTATATCTTCTTTTTTTTTTATTGTTATTATAAAACCATTTAAATTTTCTTATTAATCTAATTAAATTTTATAGGAGCCTTTGGGTCATTTAATATTTGTCGTGCAACAAATTATTATCACATCAAATCAGCTGATGTCAAGTATGGAAGATGATTACGAATATAGACAAAATAGAGAAAGGCTGTTCACTATAATGGATTCCCTTGTTACCAGGTTCTCAAGTTGTACTCCCAAAAATCTTGATTTAGTGAGTATTATTATCGAAAGTAATATTTTTTGGATATGAAGAATAAATTTTTGTCTGTTTATATAAATGGTATTCAATATAAATAAGCTCGAATGCTTATGGCCAACCTGATAAGCTAATAAATGCTTGAGGAATATTTTCAACAAACACTATTGCTTTTAAATTTGAGGGAAACGTGCGCCTGATACACAGCAAAAACTCAAGATTTACATTTATATAAAATAAAAGGAAAATGAATATTTCCATGGAAACTCGAATTTTATTTTTTGGGCATTAAATGGAAAATTTTAATAGTGATTAAATAGTTAACTGTCATGAATAATGAGGAGAAGAATAGTTGGGGCGATCAGTCAAATAAGAAGGCAAAAATAAATGATAATATTTATTTTGTCATTTGCCGACGTTTCGACCTGAAGTTCAGGCCATCATCAGGGCTAAGAAAAGAACCTTAAAATTAATTAAAAGAAAAGAGTTTTAAAATTTATTTTCTGTTTAACAAACAATATACTGTGCACATATTTACTTTACTGTATATTAATTATCTTAAGTTTTTATTTTAATGGAAATAGTATTTTATTAAGTTTATCAACTTTTAAAACAATTAATGTCTACTGAAAGTAGGGTAGTTAGTTGTCTTATGCACTGCACCAGATTTTTATTTTCAAAATGAATATATTGTTTAATAAAAAATCTCTTTTTTTTTTCCAAAATGTGTCTTTATTATCCATGATTCTAAAGGGATTTATTTATAGTTTAATGAATAAAAAAAAAAAATTAATTTAAAAAAAAAAAGAACTGACTGGAAATAACTCTATCCGTCCTCAGGAAACGTACTTGCACATCTTCTTAAACTCCTTAGTAGATTGCTTGGTGAAGTTGATGTCTATGAATATTTAGAATAGATAAATTAACTTTATCAAAACATTTGGTACATCAAATTAAATTTAATAAATATACTTGTACTTCCTTTGTTACCAATAACACTAAAACAGTTATCGACAGTCCTTATATTTTTGGCAGCATATGGTTAAAGAAAAAAAACCATGGATAACAATCTCTTATTTAAATACAATAATTTCCACTATGGCAAGTTTGTTAAAAATCTCACACAATGGCATATCCTATTCCTAATAATATATATTTAATTAATTTTGAGTTTGGGAGACAATATTAATATTTTTCTTTAAAAATTAAATTATGATGTTTTTAACATGACTGTTGAAACTAAAAATATTATGTAAAAAAAGCCAGTAGGTAGAAGACAGGGTGGCTGATCGCACTATGCACACGCATTGCCAGGCCACCTGATGGAAAATAATTTGGTAAAATTATTACGAGTTCACATCCTGGTGCCGGGAGGGGCTTTTAACTGTGGCATTAATCCCCCGCCCTAACTCCTCGGCCCAGGAAAACCCCATATAGCCTAAAGAGGAGGAAGGGAGAACAAGACAACAAAAAAAAACAGTATGTAGTTGGATATGATCTTCGATTTCTTTTCTTTTCTGTCTTGATGATGACTGAATTGGCGAAACATTGCAGGGTTTTTTATTCTTTACCTGTAACTTAAATATAGACAAAACACTGTTTAGTTTGAATTTTTCTAATTACAACCTACTAACTTATAAAAATCTTTTAAATATATTGTAACATCCCTGTTATATTTTAAAATAATAATAATAATAATATAACCTCAGAAGATCACTTTATACCCTTAAGATACTTCCAAAAGAAATAAGAGGTTGTTAAATAAATAAAAATTATAAGAAAATTAATATATTTATTTATCTCGGGTGTGGGTTAGTGACAATCAGATCAACTCAGACAAACTATTATTATTTACACTATATATATTAAAATTAAACATTGATTTTAAAATAAAGTCAAGTATGAATTGACAAGCTAACTTTTTTTCTACGTACAATGTTTCTTCCTTTGTGGGCACTGAACTCATTTTTCTTCACACATTTTCTTATGTTCTGCCAAACACATATCGCAAAATGGTAACACTATTCTTCCACTCAACTCAAGCTCTCTGGGAAATCTTCTCTCTTTCGATTCCAAACAACTATTCTCTCTGCCAAACAAGATCTTCTAAGATGGTAATACTATTACTGGGTTTTACCCACTGGAGCCGGGATCACTTCTCCCATCCTCTCTTCACCCCAGCCAAAAACCAACTACTCGCCAAAACAAAAACCTTTGTCCCTCTCCTCTTTGGGATTTTCCTTCTTGGGAAACTACAGAGTAGCCATTTTCTTTTCCCTGCACTAGTAGAACTAGATTAGCTTGCCTTTTAATTGTTCAACATTAATTTATTAAATCATTTTTACCCACTTCCAATAAAGGTATACATTACAATATATATCAAATTTTGTTTTATTAATTACTGAATTGTCTGATAAGCCTGTGACTTAGAAAGTAGTGATTTCCTTTCAAAACAGTATATAAATGTTTATTATCTATGTTGTCTTCTGATATCCTAACCACGTAAGGTATATCTCATCAATTATGGTTTAAATTGTGTTAAAGGAGGAAGATGCAGAAAGCCCTCTGGAAGAAAGTTTAAAAGTCGAGACCTTAAAGCAAGGACTTTCCATCTTTGAGGCCCTCCTCGCTTACTTTCTGTGGAAATGGGATCTCAACATAACTGTCGAGACGATGGGTCCTTTTCTTGCTTTGTATCGTGCTCACTCGGGTCTTTTGGACTTTGCCAAGGTTTATAGCTGTTATTTAATATTTTATTATTAATATTTTTCTTTCCATATTATCTTTGAAAAGTATTTATATTTTATAGAGTTACAAACCGAATAAGAAAGAAGGAGAAAAGAAAGCAGCGAGAGGAGTCCCAAAAAAAGCTTCAGTGTTTATTCCCCCTCCTACGGTTCTTGATTTCGAAACAGTTCAAAGACTTTTGACACTTTTGATATGGTAAATTATGTTTTAATAATAATTTTAGGACTATATTAATGTTTATTTTTATTGTGAATAAAAAATTATTTAATTTAAAAACATCTGACAAGCACTAGTGTCAGTTGTAGTAATTCACAAAAACACTAGTGTGTACAAAGGCCTTTAGTTTTATTTTATGACTTTTGGTGTAACAAGTACAGTAAAATAAAATTGCCTCTTGTTAAAATATTTTGTATTAATGCTGATATATTAGTTATGTTAAATAAATTACATTGAGAATTTGTGATGACCGAAAGATTGTTCTGTTTTAGTGATTCAGTGGATTGGTGCGGAGATGATGTACTAGAAGATCTGAAGGGTCGTCGGCCCATTCATCGCTATGCAATGGGAACTTGTGCTAGTGTTTTAGAAAAAACAAAGGAGCAACTTGAACATTACAAACCTAGAAGTGTCTACACGAACCTAGTCGAATTGGGAAAGTGCGTTGCCATTCGTTATAAGTTATTTATTTAGCATTTTAATGTCATTTTTTTTAAATTTTCCAATAATTTAATGCTTTAGATTATTGTTCGAGAGGGTGATGAAAGCTATTCCTAAAATGATGGAATTTGATCCTGCGACAGCAATACTTGCAATTGAAAATTTCACCGAAGTATTCTCACTAATCACAGAGCACTTCAGCGTTAAACTCTCTGCTTTCCTTTCTGAAGCTTGTAAGGTTTCTTAAACCATAATCCTGAATAACTTTAGCATAAATGATCATATAACATAAAATTGTCCTAATTTTAGGTGGAGTAGAAGAAAGTGAAGGTCTTAATAACCAACTAGAAAGGATTTTAAAATGCTATTTGAAATCTCTTGGTCAAATTTTGGATATGGAAGAGGAAGAAGAAGATGCGAATCATAAGAAGCTATTGTCAGTTTTGATAAATGGTGTTAACATTTTATGTCTTCAGCTCCCTGTCTCCGGCCAGTGCGTTGTAAAAGTAACTATTAATATTATTCTGCCTTTCGTCTCATAAGGAGTTATTTTTTTTAGTGTGATGTTATAAAAACTTTATTTCTTCCTAAATAAACAATCTATTTAACACAATAAGAATCTATTTGATTGAATTACTAGTTACTGAAATTAACAAGTTCAAACAAGCTCTTCAGCTTTAGATATTACTAGCTTTACCCGGCCACGCGCTGCTGTGGCTTAGCCTGGCAAAATGAAAAAGAAAAACAATAGAAAGCACATAAGAGTAGATTAATAGCAAAGAATATCTGTCATTTTTAAAAAGTTGGGAAACAAATTTGTCTGTAAAATGGCTTCAATTTAAACTAATTCTAATAATTTTTTTTCTCATGATTCTAATTGAACATTCATAATCATCTAAGTGAATACGCCCTCATTCATAATAATCAGAAACAGTCTGAGTTGAACTTATAAAACTAAAATAAAAACTTAATATAAAGAACATATAATAGTATTAACCTACATAAGGAGAATCATATAACTTCTTCAAATGATAACTTCAATTACTGTAGTAATTATAAAATTTTCGATTAATCAATAAATAAATAAAAATGCTTGCCTTACCTTCGGTAGTGAGGAAGCAAAAGGAAATGGCCTTTTCTGAAGAGAAAGCAGTAAATGTTTAAAACTCTATAACTCTGCAATGAACTGTCCGATTTCGATGATTTTTTTTGTCAGCAATTCAGAAATCTTTCATATAAATGTGGGTATTATCAGTCAAAATTCTATACTTTTTTAGTTATCATCAAATAAAATATTGAATTCATCATAACATTTTTTAGCTTCTTTTTTTTTTCGGAAAAGTATGTTATACACATAAATTAAAAGGGTTTCAAGGGGAAGACTTTAGCCAAGTTTTGGCGCTCAGTTTAGAGCGACACATTTTTTTGTGGCTTTGAACAGAAAAACATTTACATTTTTATTTTTTTTACATAAATAAAATTATTGTATAAACTACCGCGAAACTACATGAAAATAATTGTAGGTGACGCGAACACAAAGGTAGGAAGGGAAGAAGTTTATATTCCGACGATTGGTAAAGAAAGTTTGCACGAATATAGTAATGATAATGGGATCCGTCTGATAAACTTTGCCATCTCGAAAAACCTGATAATTAAAAGTACGACGTTTAAACATAAGGATATTCATAAATATACTTGGACATCACCGGATTCGCAAACACGAAATCAAATCGATCATGTCTTGATACAACACAGCTGGCAAAGCAGTATAATTAATGTACGGTCTTATCGCGGAGCAGAATGTGGGTCGGATCATGAATTAGTAATCGCGAAACTTCGACAAAAACTTAATATAAAAAAGAGAAAAGAAAACCGTTTCGATTTTGAGAATTTTAATTCGGAAAAATTAAAAAATCCATCAATTAGAAACCAATTCGAGCTAGATGTTAAGAATAGGTTTGAAGCTTTAGAGCTTCCTGACGAGGACCACGAAGATATTGACAAGTTATGGATAGAGATCAGAGATAATATTAAAGCGGTCGGTAACTCGTGTCTAGGAAAAAAGGAAAACAAGAATAACAAACCGTGGTTTGATGAAGATTGCTTAAAAATGTGTGAAAAAAGAAAAGCCGCTAAATTAAAAGCTCTAAATAATCCTAGCGAAGACAATCTGGAATACTTCCGAATCTCAAAGAACGAAACGACAAAATTGCTCAAAAATAAAAAAAGGGAGTATCTTAAAAATAAAATAATTGAAATAGAAACTAATAGAATCGAAAATAACGTAAGAGACATGTACAAAGGTATAAACAGATCACGTAAATATGTAGGGCCCGTAACGTCTGGAATTAGGGATGATAATAACAATATTCTGACCGATCCGGTTGACATATTGAATAAGTTTAAGGACCACTTTGACAATATTTTAAATATGGGAAATTGTGATCTGTGTCCTCCTTCTGAGTACCAGAGTGCTGAACCATTAATAGAAGGACCAAGTAAAGAGGAAGTTGAAGTAGCTATCGGAAAATTAAAATCATATAAAGCAGCGGGAATCGATAATATTCCTACTGAACTAATTAAGGCATGCGGAGAAGCTGGAGTTTCTAAAATACATCGGTTGGTTAAAAAGATCTGGGTGAACGAGAAATTACCTGAAGAATGGAAAGAATCTATTCTTATTCCAATTCACAAAAAGGGTCCGAGGACGGATTGTAATAACTATCGAGGAATTTCACTCCTTCCGGTATGTTATAAAATATTCACTTTAATCTTAACCAGTCGAATCGCGGAATACGCCGAGGAAATTATCGGAGACTACCAATGCGGATTTAGACGGAATCGTTCGACTATTGATCAAATATTTTCTTTACGGCAAATATTAGAGAAAAAATTGGAGTATAACGGTATTGTTCACCAGCTGTATATAGATTTTAAAAAGGCTTACGATTCTATTGACCGCCAGAAACTGTATAATATTCTAATCGAGCAGGGGATTCCAAAAAAACTAGTAAATCTAGTCAGGGTGTGCTTGACGGAGACACTCAATAAAGTTAGAATCGGTAATAATTTGTCCGAAAAATTTGAGGTTCGTTCGGGCTTAAAACAGGGGGATTCTCTTTCGCCTGTCCTGTTCAATTTGGCATTAGAACATGCCATTAGGGAGGTAATGCGAACCGAGAAAGGGTTGGATCTGGGCGGGACAACATCCGTGCTGGGCTATGCTGATGATCTGGTACTGTTAAGCGAAGACGTTGAAACTATAAAACTAAATACGACAACGTTAATGAAAGCCGGTAAAGAACTAGGACTAGAAATAAACGTGGATAAAACAAAATATATGGTTAGCTGCAAAAATGGCGATACTACTGGTGATATCGATATAGATGGTAATATGTTTGAACAGGTAGATAAATTTAGGTATCTAGGTTCTACGATAACTAGAAAAAACGAAATTGAAGAAGAGATTAAGGTTAGACTGAAGGCGGGGAATGCTTGTTATTTTTCTGTGACAAAACTACTTAGTTCGCGCCTCTTGTCCCGAAACTTAAAAATTAGAATCTATAAAACAATTATCTTGCCTACAGTTCTTTATGGATGCGAAACTTGGCCGCTTACATTAAGGGATGAGCAGCATCTTAAGGTTTTTGAAAATAAAGTATTGCGTAGAATATTCGGACCAAAGAAGGATGAGTTAACCGGAGAGTTCAGACGGTTACACAACGCCGAATTGCGTGAGATGTATCCGGGTAATATAATTGAGGTAATTTCATCGCGGCGAATCAAATGGGCTTGTAAAGTTGTTGGGCTTAGTAACGAGAGAATTCCTAAAAGGTTAATATTTGCTGTGCCGAATGGTAAGCGTCCGAGGGGTAGACCGAAGCGAAGGTGGGAAGATTGCATTAAAGCCGATCTGAAGGGACTGGGTTTGGACGGCGAACGGTGGAGGGAGGTGTGTAACAAGCGATTGGTGGTGTCGGCATCGAACCTTCGGGTTCGCTAAGCCTTATTATTATTATTATATTATTATTATTTAAATAAAATTATTGTATGACAGAAGTACTATGCCAGAAACCTTCTCAGGAGTGTACGGAACAACTTCCCAAAGTTTCATGGCGATCAGATGAATGGTTTAGTAATGCACAAAGGACAAACAGACAGACATACATTCATTTTTATATATATAGAAGATGATAGATGACAATTTTTGTTTAACTTTAAAATTATTTAAATAACTTAAATTTCATTTCAATGTTACCTTGAAATTCAGTTATCCAGAATTGATAATAGATGTTATACTTTTACTTACAGGTACATGCTTGGTTGGGAGAGGTGATCGAGAAAAGAGCTATCGACTCAGTCGCAGACACTAAATGTATTCTCACTCTGCTCATAAGATTGAGCCAGAGAATTAAATCCGATTCTGCTCTTTACGACAATTTGGGCCTTCATCTTTGTCAACTTTATGGTACAATCAATGAGGTAAGTTAAATGCTTTTGTAATATTTTATATAAATTATTTTGATAATCCTGATTAGATTAATTGAAGTGAAAACGTTTTGCACTTCTTTGTCGAGAGTGAATTAGATTGGTCCGTCAGATTTCGTTCGTCATTAACGCTTGAGTAAAGTCGGCTAAAGTCGACTAATTAAAATATTTTTACATATGGATTAAAATATCTCAGAAACTATAAATCAGGCCCGCATACTGTGAGCGAGGAAATTGTTCTTCATTTCATCCTCTCTGTAATAGGCTATAATTCAAAATTGTATCTTAAAACGACGCTGTGTTAGAGAGGTGAAAAGGAAAAAAAAGTGTTGAAAACCAAATGATAAGGTTAGTTGAACATACGGATTAAAATATTTCAGATACTAAAAATCGGATCTGTATACTGTGAGCGAGAGAAATGTTAAGCATTCCATCTTCTTTGTAATGAGATATTATTTATAATTCAATTTCAAATTATTAATCTGGCCTTGTTGATATTTTCACTTATATCCTGTGGTCTTAAGTACACACCTTAGGTGTTTTTATTTTTAATGAATCTTAGGAAGTAATGTTTTTACCTAATAGTAATGCAAATTTTATTATTATAATCCAACATTACACTGTACTGTGATGATAATTATTGTTTTTATAAAATATTAAATTCATTAGTTTTTGAATTATGACAATTTTCTTTATTATTAAGATATTTATGATTTATTCTCAATTCAGGTGGAGACGGAGAAACCAGATTGCGAATTTTGTTCAGTTACGGAACAAACAAAGGCTATTGTCTTACCTTTGCTTTGTAACTCACTAAATACACGTCTCTCATCATTTGACTGGCTTATACAGCGGACAAAGGCGGAATATGTCATATACTTTTCTGGACAAAGTATAATAAACAATCCAGAAGGTAAAATTCTATTAATAATAATTATGTGTCATAATATCATAGATTTAACATTGTTATAATTAGTGTTAATTAATTAATTTAACAGTTTTCACTAGATACTATAGATAAAATAAAAACTTTTTTAATAAAAGAAAAAAAAAATGTCTATTCCCTCCCTCAGATTTAGTAAAACAATCAAAAATCATACAAGAAAAAACATAGAACCTTATTATACCATAAACAAATCACCTCCTTGCATGATCCACAACCGTTAACCTAGAAACAGTACCTTCTCTGCATGGTACTGAACCCAGAACCTTTTTTTTATCATCAACCATTTTGAAGATAAATGATTAATAAGTAGTGTTGGAACATTATATGCTCTCATAAAGAATTATAACAACCCTTAAAAAAAAATCTGTTGTGGTGCGCACATCACACAAGTTTCACTTATCTTAGCGAAATAAGTATTTTGAGACAAAGTGAAACAAAGTAAAAATTATAGACTCTATATTTATTTATATTTCATTGTGGGTACTTTCATTTATATAAGTACCCTCATATATACAAATTTTAATATTTATATCGCTGTATTATATATAATTAAATATTAAATAATACCAACAATAACATTTATGAAAGCCACATATCTATATTCATATAATATTGTCGAAGTCCGTATTATATTAATTTCATGATACGTATGGAAACATGTTCTAATCTTTTGGGTGCGCTCCTCTTCCTTGGTTCCTTAATTACAGTTATTCTCAGTTACGATCTCTTATTTCTCCTTTAGTTGATTATCAAATTCTTTCATATTTTATATTTAACCATTTTTCATATTAGAAATTAATGTGAAATGGTCAATTGTTTCAAATAAAAAAAATTAAATGTACTTTAGAGGAAGCTAATATTGAAAATTATCCATTTAAGCCCTGTTAGAGAACATCAATGAGAATAATAACCACATTTTATTTAAAACTGCTTAATTTTACCCTGATATGATGAATTTAACCAAAATTGTTAGAACCGTTTTCTAGATATTCGTAATAATGTGTTTAGTCCATTATAAAAGTGCCACTTCCGGTAAGCTAATTTTGACGAAAAAGTTGCTGTAAGCATATAAAAACCTTAAATGTGCAATTTCACTTCCGTATGACTTTTTGTTTTTGAGCTAGACTATTAACACAGATACACACACGCCATTTTGTGTGACTTTGTTATATGGACTCTGGGGACCTCAAAATGTGTATTTCCGTTGAAAACTCAGATTCAAAATTTTTCACGATCGCAATACTTACCTTTACTATTTATTACTTATATTGGTAAGTGAAAGTAAAAAGTTGTGTTTACATCTTAAGTTAATTAACTTAAAATTTAATAACTTCATGCTATTTCCATATTAAAATTTTATTTTTTATTTGTATTAATTTTATAGCATGTTTGTGAAAATGTTGCTTCACGGGAATTTTCTGAAAAAGTTGGGAAGTAGTTGAATATTGCAATCTCCAAAATTGGTAGATACTATAATTGTAGTAGAGGTTTGAGTCGACTTACAAGCCTACACTGATAAAATGGATGCAATATTATTAAAACATTGAAACAGATAACCTTGTTAAAACTGAATATTAGTTTTACTTAGCAATTTTTTTTATTATTGTACTTATATCATTACTCTATTTAATATAGCTGTTTGAAGTTTTATTATATCTGTCTATCATGGCAGATATGGTATAACATGAAATATTTTCATTTTTAATTTTAACTTTCTTTTTTTACTATTAGAGGTATCACTTACCATCTATTGATCTGTTCAGGTAAACTAAAGCTGAAGAGAGTCGAGAAAGAAGCTGTAATTCAGGCAGGTTTCATTTCTTCGACAGCCCAGATCCTCACCACGATCAGTTGTGCCACTAACGCAGAACTGTTGTGTAAGACTTTGCATCATCTATACTCCAGCCTTAGTGCCCTCACTAAGTATTTCCAAGGGAGGTCTACCAATATCAATCCCGCATATCAAGAAGCGAGGTAAGTGCTTAAGTTACGAAAATTAATTTTATTAGTTTTGATCTTTGTAATTGGTCAAACGAATTGTTTGCTCTTGGAGAACATTAGTTTCTTTCTCAACTTCTGCCCTAAGAACTCAGCATAATGTCTCAAGTCGCAGCTGAAGCCTTATGAGTTTTTTCTAATTATTTTAAGGGTTTTTAAAAGTATAATGATGAAAGAAAGTGTGTATACTTTTTATTTTAAAAATATTACCAGGATTTATATCTTAAGAATATATACCAGGATGTTAGCAATATTAGAATGCCTTAGAGTTTACCTATAGATCATGATTGAGGGTTTACCTAGAAATCTTTGTAAACAAAAAAATATATACAGGTCTTTAATTGAACCTTAACTCACAACAGCACTGATATTTTGGAAAAACTAAAAAAAAACTTGGCTAGTACATCGCTATCATTCAAAGTTTGCTCTTATAACACATTGAATTTGTGTAACTAAAAGATATGTTATTGGATTCTTCAGTATCTGAGACAGCTGGGCGATTAGTTAATAATATTTTCCTCTTCCATCTTGGTCACTAATGGTAGTGTGGGTAATGCATTAGTGCTGAACAATAATGTTGAATTGGCTTAACGAAAGTTATATCCAGCCAAGCGAAACTTAGTAAAATGTGCAGTTATGTAGGTTACACATGTTTTTATTGAATTTACAAATATCAGATATTATTGTTTAATGATAACTTCTTTTAATTGTAGATTTGGAAAATTAGTAAAACTTGCAGCATCACATCTTTCTACACAGGTGGCAGACTTCCTCTTGCATATCGAAGTAAGTTACGAATATTTTGAATAAAATGTCAATTTCACTTTATATTTATTTATTGAAATACTATAGTCAATGTTTGTAAAGTTATCAAAATTAAGTACTATATCTATTTTTTTAAGCATGTTAAAATATACAGTTTCTTCCTTATTAATTTCTAAATTACGATACAGAATCGATACGATAAAGAAATCGTATGTTTCAGTCTGTGGATAGTGTTGCGGGAGAAGAGGAGAAGAAAATTTCTGCCAAAATTCTTCGCCAAGCTAAGAAACAAACTGTTTACATTCCAAAACTTGTCGCTGAACTTGAAAACTTCACCAAATGTGTAACCCAATTATCAATCAAATGCAAGGTATAATTACATTGTTTTTTTTTTGTCTTGATCAATTTTTAATTTAATAATATCATTTAAACTGAATGACATAAAAATTTCATGAAATAATTGTAGATCATGTAATTATAAGTTCAACGTTTAAATAAAATATTTTCTATTATTTCGTTACTCATATTTGATTAACAATTTATCCAACATCAATAGTAGCGTTATTATATCCAGGAAGATCTACATACCTATTATTGTGACTCAATCATCATATTTTTACTTTAGTAAGTGAAAATATGATTGGGAAGTTAGTTGGGGGTTGCAGTCGTTTATTTATTTATTGTTACAAATGGCCATCAAGATTTTTCTGGAATTCCTATTCTGGTCAATATACAATTTTAAATAAATATATGTGCATATACAGATTTCTTCAAATTTTCACCTTAACTAAATTCTACATTGTAAATTTTTTAAAAACATTTCAATCTTCTCTATTCATTTTTTTTTTCAAACTTCTTTTTTTGTTTTGTCATAGTTCATTATATTATTTACATGAACTCCAAATTCTAAATTTTTTTAAGCAAAGGTTAGATTTATTATAATCATATATTTCATTGTATTATAGTTTATTGTTATTATTTCAGGATCCCTCATTGTCATCTAATTTAAAACTTACTACAACAAGAGATTTTCGTCTGAATACTAAGCGATTAGAAGAAGTAATGAAGAGGCAGCACGAGGTATGTAATATCTTGCATTTTTTTTTTTTCTTTCTTTTTATTCCCGAAATGGCTCTTTGTAGCTTGTAGTGTTTGTCCTACAAGTAACTGACTTTTTCTAGTCAGAGTGGAGGTAAGTCGAGATTAGAAATTTCAACCTACCCCGGCCAGATTCGAACCATCACCACTTCTATCTTAAAGTTGGTAAAGTGATCTCTTAACACACCCAGCCAACTTGGCCTCTTATAGTTGTTTTTTAAATAAATATAACCTCTGTAATAGCTTTATATAAATTGCAGCTGTGAATTTATAATTTCTCATCAGAAATAGGCACCACCATAAAAAGAATTTTTGTTGGTGGAGGTCAATTTTTTTATTCTTTGGACAGCCTGAACAAAAACAGCGTGATGTTTTTTCTTTCCTTCCATTTTCCCTCATTATCTCTGAATGCTTTTATTTTCTTTCTTATGGCCATGCAACTACCTTTTTCAAATTTGTCTTTCCCACAAGAACCTTGATTTCCTTCAGTCTTTCCGTTTCTTCTTTCATCTGCTTGCTGTATCCTCCTGAGCTTTTGTACCCTCGGATTTTCTGGAATATTTCCTTGTTTAGTCTTTCCGGGATCATTCTTGCCATATATCCATGGAATTTCAGTCTCCTTATCCTTATTTCTGTTTCTAGGGCCTTTATGTCTTTGTAAATTTTGTGGTTGGGTCTTAGCCTGTCTCCTTCTTGTGTCTTTTTGGGGTGGTTAGGGATTCTTCGTTCTATTTTAAGTAGTTTTTCTAGAGTGGGGAGACATGTGGTTTCCGTCCCATTTAGTATTACCGGTTTAACGACTATGTTGTAGTGGCGTATTTTCGCTTTTGTGGGCAGGTTTTTCTTATTATACACGTTATTGGTTGCAAAACGTAGTCTCTCTAGTTTGATGATTCTTTCTTTCATACTTTGATGATTTTTTCTTTTCCAAACCATTGTTATATATAATCTCACCCAGGTACTTAAATTTTATTGTTACTTTTATTGGTCCGTATTTCATTTCTACTATTTTCTTCTCGAAGTCTGGGTCTGTTATCATTCTTTCTGTTTTTTTGTAAGAGATTTGTAGACCTGTTTTTTATAAGTCTTTAATATATTGTAACATCTCTCTTATATTTAATAAATAATAATAATATAATCTTGGAAGATTACTTTATACCATTGGGATATAATTAACCATTTCACATTAATTTTTGATATAAAAAATAGTTAAATATAAAAGAATTTGATAATTAACTAAAGAAGAAATAAGAGGTTGTGACGGATAATAGTTGTAATGGAGAAATCAAAGGAATACGAGCGCGTCCGAAATATTAGAACAGGCTTCCATATGTAACATGAGCTTAATATAATACGGACTCTGACAATATTTTCTATATATACATAAGCGGTTTTCATAAATGCTATCATTGGTATTATTTAATATTTAATTGTATAGATTTCAATGACAACAAATAAAAATACCCACAATAAAATGTAAATAAATATAATAATAATAATAATAATACTTTATTTATTCTGGGACAAGTCCCTTTAGAATAATACAGAAAGACATAAATATGGGCTAAGGAGCCTCAGAGATACATAAATAAAAATACAGAGTAATTAAACAGTCATAGTAATAAAATTAAAAATTATAAGTTACTTTCTAATTTTAATCAGTTAATAATTAAAAATTAAATAAAAAGGATGAAGTAAAAATAATGAAGAAATGAGCTAATAATTTATATAGATATTTAAATTAGTATCTATTTACAATTTCATGGGGACTGGATGGATTAGAAATGATTGAACAGACGGGATTTAAAGGTAGGAAGGGTTTTGGATTGATGGATGTCGGGAGGGATAGAGTTCCAAAGGGATGAGGATCGGATAATGAAAGATCTGTTCAAAGCAGCGGTTCGGTGGGCCCTTATATACAAGTCAGAAGACCGGGAACGAACTGGGGGGCGGGGTGGCCGAATAGGCTAAAGCGTGTGTAACAGCACCGCTAGTTGCCTGGCAACCGGATAACAGAGATTTGAGATGATATAAAAAGTACGAGTTCGCGTCCCGGTGCCGGAGGGGATTTTAAATTTCCCCGCCCTCACCCCCCGGCCCGGGAAAATCCCGTATAGCCTAAAAGGCGAGGTAGGGAAGAACAAAAAAAAAAAAAAAAAAAAAAAAAAAAAAAAAAAAAAAAAAGACCGGGAACGAACAGAGGATTTGAATTGGAGGAGGTCAGAGATGTATGAAGGTCGGTGGGATTGGATAACTTGAAAGAGGAAGGATGCCAGGAAATATTTACGACGGTATGAAGGATAAAGCCACTTCAACTCTGCATAAAAATGGGAAACAGAGGCGTCCCTTGGTATCCCGAAGATGCTATATGGTGTCTATAACATTTACTTTCTCTTCCTCTTTGTCGGAAAATACTTATTTCTGCTAAGAAGAGGGTGGTAAGTAAAAGTCGTGTGATGCGCCAGATTTTTTCTGAAACAACCATGAGATCTGATATTTTTTTAACTATTGTTATTGGTAAGAATAGGTGTTTTCTTAGACAACTGAATTATTAATTGTATGTCATTATCAAGTTTATATTTATTTTATTAATATGAATATATTATGAATACATAAGCATTTAAAAAATTAACTATTAACTCTCAACAACTTAACTTCTGCTGTTTTATAGGAATCAGATGAAGAAACAAATGATACAACTGCAACTACACAGCAATCTATTTCAGTCGGTGGTGGAACAGCTTCCCAAGCTTCTACCAGCGGAGCCAAGAAACAAACTCGCAAAAAGAAAAAGACCTAAATTATTTGTTGATATAAACAACTGAGGCCATTATATATTTCAACCATCACATAATGTATATATAGTTGTTATGTAAATATAAATTTTTAACTTTGTTAATTTTTATATCGTTAAAAACTCTACTTGATTTTTCTTTAAGTACTTTGTATATTGAAATAATTATACCTTGAATTTTACCAGTGAATAATTTCATCCAAAACTGTTGGTTTTTTTTTCACTTTCCAATCAAGACTATATAAGGTAAAAGTATTTTAATCAGATCAAATTTTCAATTGATCTTTGTATTAAAAAAAATAATGTATTGTCGACCATCAGTGTGTATCATCAATATCTTGTGAAAATACATTGACCGATTTGTTTTATATTTTGTAAAATTTCAGCTCTCTAGGCCTGTAATATATTCAGCACCATAATACCAAAAACAAATCAGGCACCCTATGCTCACACACATAATCATTGAAAAGTGTGTTTTTTTAAAATTGTAACTCCAAAAAAAGAAAAAGTCCTCCTGATTTTGATGAAGCTTATGTAGTACAATACAAAGAAAAAGTAATATTTCATTGGGCATAACTGAAAAAGATGCATTTTATGGTAATTTATGTACATAATCATTCAGCTCAAATTTTATATGTGCTTTTGTTTTATATATATATATATATATATATATATATATATATATATATATATATATATATATAGAGAGAGAGAGAGAGAGAGAGAGAGAGAGAGGGAGGGGGGAGGGGAAGGAGAGAGAGATAGAGAGAGAAAGCTGGGTGTATATATTTCAGAGATTCTTCATTTTCATCATTCAGTTTCATATGTTATTTTCATTAATTGGTTAGGATTTGCATTATTCTTCGAGTCCCTCATGGATGCATGTTAAAAGTTGGCAGAAGCTACAAGAATATGTGTCAAGGGAAAAACCAAATACATGCCTGCAGAAACTAGAGCAGAGATAATTTTTGAGCCAGTTTTTATGGATAAACCATTATGGCAGAGCGAGTATTTGTTTTTAAGCAGGTCTTGTCTGCTTTTAAATTCTGAAGTCAGCAGCATTGGCAGAGAATGTGAAGTTAGGACACGTTCCACTGAGAGTCACAGAGTGCCTGGTTCTGAACATTGCTGAATCGATTCCTGTCCGGGACAGTTAATATTTATTTCTTGGCAGTCCCAAGAAATAAATCTTGACACTCACACTCTTTTTTTCCCTATCTCAGTTATTTAGTTATACTGGTTTTTCTCTGACCAGGGGAAAGGGAGGATGATTAATACCAGTTAAATTTCACCAGGACTGGAACTCTTAATCTTTTGGTTGCCAGACAATGCATGTATTGCAAACGTGTTAGCCAAATCAGTCACCCCATCTTTCCCTCAAGAGATTCTCACATTGGTTAATACGCAATGAAAACCTCTAGGTAGCCTTAAGGATTTGGCCACTAGCTTAATTAGTTCCCCTCTACCAGTTCTATTATTAGTACTAGTAATTAGTTAAAGTGATGTTAGTAGTCTTTTAAAAACCAATATATAAATTATAACCCTAATAGGGTTATAAGTCAATTTACAATTAGTAAAAACAAGACATAATGTAAGAATATTCCATAATTGAATTTACTTATATTAATACATGGTAAATCAGTCTATATCAGAAAAATACAGTCTATATATATATATATATATATATATATATATATATATTTATATATATATATATATATATATATATATATATATATATATACTTTAAAACCCCATCAAAACGTGCCCCCCTCATGGCGTAACTTGCGCCATGAAACCCCTGCTAGGTATATGTTTTATTTAGGATTTATCATAATTAAAATAAATATCCTCTCATGTTTGTTTATATTTTACTATATATATATATATATATATATATATATATATATATATATATATAGTAAAATATAAACAAACATGAGAGGATATTTATTTTAATTATGATAAATCCTAAATAAAACATATACCTAGCAGGGGTTTCATGGCGCAAGTTACGCCATGAGGGGGGCACGTTTTGATGGGGTTTTAAAGTTTGGAATGAAAAGTGTGATGTCAGGAAATCACTACAGGAAACAAATGAAGCTGTGTTAAAAACGTATCCACCACAAATACATTAAACACTTTTATTCCTCTACATAACCACCACAATCCTTAATTTGCCACTATTTAATATTAGGAAATTACTTCAGGAAACAAATGAGGCTTTGTTAACCATTTAGCAGTTTTCAACTCTTCAGCACTCATTATCCTTAATTTCCTCTATGTAAACATCACACTATCAGGAACAAAGTACTACTACTGTTTGGGTAACATTACCCAAGCCAACCTGACTTTGTTTACAACAGCTACAGTGCTGCCAGATATCATGCTTTAACTCTACAAAAAGTTTTAAACCAGAGGACAACGGGAGAACACAAAACAAATGTAATTGTATATGATCTAGGTTTTTTTTTTAATTATACTTTGTCTAACTAACATTGGTTTTAGAAGAGAAGAACAATAAAATATCTTGGGGAGGATTCATGCGGCGTCGACGATGGGGAGATGGGCATCTCTGAAACCTAGTCATAGTATTTATTTATATTACATACGCATTTATACTATCCCCATACCAAACTGAAACGACTAAAAACCGCCCGACGTTTTCGACTACTGCAGCACTTACTAGACAAACGCTCTAAGCTCACAATCAATTACAAACGACTCATATATGACAATGATAAGACCTATTTGGACTTAAGGAATTGAGCTTTGGGGCTCCACTAAACTATCCAATTCCTCTCGTATTCAATCCTTACAATCCAAAAACCTTCGTAAAATCCTCAACGCTCCTTACTTTGTCACAAATAAAATCATCCACAAAGATCTTAATGTTCCATATGTTTCCGATTTGGCCCAATCCAGATACCTATCCTTCCATAACAAACTGCAGAACCATCCGAATCATCTCGTTTCAAACCTTGCTTCCTCCTCGATCCCTGATAATCCTTCGAGGCGTCTGAAAAAAAGATGGCCTCGGGACCTTCTAATGTAGAACTTTAATTTGAGTGCTACCAATGGGTAGTTTCTCTTCATGTTGTACATGTCATATTACCAATGTCACATTTACTTATTGTATTTTCCATGTAATACAGTTGTAAATCTCAATAAAATAAATAAACATTTATACTTTTGTGAGAGGCTTTATAGTTTATTTAATAGTTTTATCATATGTTATTTAAAATTCTTTCAGATGAAGCTGAACTTTTAAAAACATTTTAGTGAAATTCAATCTTATTTATTGAAAAAAAAAAAATAAGACGTAAATGCACTAAAATTACACGAACTCTTGGGTAAACCAAGCATAGTTATAAGCATACAATTTTCTGATTTTACAAAGGAAAAATTCATCAATACTCTTAATGATTCAACGCTATAAAATGTCACTTAAAGACTTGGCAATCATCCGACAAAATGGATTCATGAAATCCATCATATGTTAGGTTTAGTAGAAAGTACAGGTGTAATTCTAGTCGTTATTTAGAAATGATCTTAGTTATTTCTATCGTTATTGGTTTCATCAGTACTCCAACTTTAGGAGAAGGAGTTTCCACCCTAACGGCCAAAACTTTAAACAACAGCGCCAATGTCAGGACTGTTCTCTTCAGGGACACGGATACGTGCAAGGTAATGAACATTTGGATAGAACTATTCCAACATATTTGAATTAATCAAATAAATAATTAGCTCCAAAATATGCACCCACAAGCGGATCCAGGAATTAATTTTTTTTGGGGGGGAGGCCTTCAGTCCGAAAGCTTTTTTTTCATAAAAATAACAATAATTACTTTGGAAAAAAAAATAGAGAAACTAACAACGTATATGCAATTGAGTTTAAGTGATTCTTAAAGTCCTTTTATATGTCATTACACGAACAATAATACTTTAAGAGATAATTTTTTAATATATTTTTCCATAAAACATGGCTATATTTTAACATTTTGGGGGAAGGCTTCAGCTATAAAGCCCCCCCCCCTTGATCCACCCTAAATATGAGATGATAGGACCAAAATAAAACACAATCATTGTGTTCAAGCATCGATTTTAAATTCGATATGTTCGAAGATAATAAATAACCAAATTTTGGGAGAATAACTCTTTCCCTAATTGTATAATAATATACAATAGGATAATAATATATTAAATAGTCACTGTACCTAAATGTGCGTTTAGACATTTCACAAATATATAAATGTTGTTTTTTTCCTCATGCTGGTGTTTTTGTATCTTATTTTAAAAAGTTTTCTCTTTGTTGTCGGTAACAAAAGAAATAAAATACATATTGGATGGATCGATAAGTTCGTTCGGTTTTTGTTAGTAGTGCAAATTATTTTAAAATAACCATAGTTCTCTTCACTTTATCTGGCTTATTGGAAAGGTTAAAGTCCGCTCTTCGAAACTGTTGTGTTTGGTTTCATTACCATTAGTTTTGTTCGTGCTACAGCGCACAGGCGGATTTACGGGGGGGGGGGAAGCTTTCGGGCTGAAGCCCTCCAAAACGGTAAAATATAACCATGTTTTATGGAAAAAAATAATAAAAACTATCTCTTAAAGTATTCTTGTTCGGGTAATTACGTTCAATAGGGTCTTCCTCTTGTATTCTTTATCCGCCAGCCCCCCCCCTTTCCAACGTGGAAAATAAATTAGCAATAAATATAAAAACGAATTTCTTTAAGATTGATTGTATTCCAGCATTCTGAAAGAACTTGAAGCCACTTTTAAATTAGTTGTCCTCTCTAAGCCTTTTTTTTATTTTTTAAATCTTATTTATTGAAAAATGTTACAATCTGTCTCAAAGGACATTTATAATAGTGTTCAGAGATCACATCTATGCCTTTAAATAATTAAAAACACGTATCTTGTCAAATTTATGTCTTTCATAGAACACTATATTTTTGTTATATATTGGATTTTAAAAGTAAATATTTAAATAAAAATTACTGTCGTTCGTTCAGAAGAACTTAAGTAATTATTTTTACGAAAAAAGTTTTTATACCTTCTTGACTTAAAAGTTCAGTTCGTTTCCTTTTGAACAAACGTTCTACCATTTAGATGGGTCTATAGTTAAAATATCATAAAACATAACTTATTTAACTTAAACTTTATACTAAACAATCATGAAATGACTTTAACAGTTTGATGATAAGTTATAATGTATAAAATTTTTTCCATAAGTTTGTATCCCCCTCCCTTCCTCCAATAACAATATACATTTTTGTTAATAATTTTCGATAATAATATTTTAAATACATAATGTAATAAGCACTTTGATCCAAAAATACTATAATTATGTTTATTCAAAAAAAATTAAAATAATCTAATTATTTTGTTAACAATTATGTTGGCACCACTACCCATGTTTTCAGAAATCATTTTACAATTTATAGTGAATCTTCATGTAAAGCAATCTATATTATAATCTTTATTCAGATTAATTTATTACATTAAAAATATAATCTTGTTACTAACATTTTAACACTCAAAGGTATTATTATTATTAATTTTATTAAATATATTATTACTTGAGTTATAGTACTAACTTCAAAACTTTTTACTCATTTTGATTACAAACTTTATTTAAGTTTGGAGTTAAGATCTTCTGATATATAATTTGAAGAAAAAATTAAATTTCTAAACGAAAATAGTTTTACATCTCTTACCTCCTGGAATATTTCTAATTAACTGAAAAGTGTATAGTAATTTCCTTTTATCCATTGTATTAAAGTAAAATTACTTTGATGAGATCAAAATGTTTAATATATATATCAACAACTTGGCCTTTATTTTAATAAATTTGGAAATTATAATAATTCTGGTATAATAATTCATACTTTAATTAAACACATTTTGTAGATACTATTTTGCTTTTAAATTATATCAGAATTGGTCTAAATTATATCAATTTAATTAATTTCCTATTCAATGACCAAGCCACCCTTAACTTTACAATATGGAAAATTTCATATTGTTAAATCTGTATTTTTCAACGTATTAACAATAGAAATAGTATTACATTATGGTATTAAAATTATAATATTAATACCTTTGTCTCAGTAACATCTTTAGTGACTAAAATTAAAAATAAAGTTATTATTTTTTTAAATAAAAGTTGTATTGATTTAAATCATATCTAGATTTTATATACTTAAAAAAATAATAATGAACTAAATAGATTTTATTGAATATTTAATAGTTGACCGTTGCATTATAAAGGAAGGAGATGGTTTGGGGTGGCGGTCATAAATAGGCTAAATAGTGGTAAAACTATTTTATTAAAAGCCAACGTTTCGACCTCAATTTGCTGGTCTTCTTCAGGGCTAGAACGGACAAGATACAAACAGATAGAGAATAGTGGAAGTTACATAATATTTAGACAAAAATTATAAACAATATGAATAAGCCTAATAAGCGCCACCCCAGACCATCTCCTTCCTTTAAATAGATTTTAAAATTTATATATCATTAAATTTATTATTTTTACTTCATGTTTATTTTCCATTTTTTATTTTTTATTATTAACTGATTTAAATTAGACAGTAACTTATTTTAAATTTCTTTTATTATTTTTTTTATTTTGACTATTTAATTATACTATATTTTTGTTTACGTGTCTCTGAGGCTTCTTAGCCCACATTTTTGTTTTTCTAAATGGACTTGTCCCAGAATAAATAAAGCAATATTATTATTAAGTTTTAATAACTAATTTTCAGGTGTGTTGGAGTAAAGAAGATTTGAACTTATTGGTCGCAAGGCGTCTAGTACAAGATTTAATCCCTCGAAAAATCCCGAGAGATTTTCCTGCTCTCTACACATATCTAAAAGATGTCATCGAGACGGTCAAAGCCAAGTCTAATGAGAAAAACCTGCATGTAACCTTTTCCATCATGTATATATTTTTTTTACCTTAGATATCTTAAGTTATGTAGAACAATCACACTAAAAAAAAAAAAAGGAAAATAGTATCACATAACTAAAATTATTTCCGTGTTTGGCAGTACAAATTTGTCATCTATTCAATTCTATTTTGACTAGAATAACCCAATCAGTATTTTCGAAAGGGTATGATGTTATCTTGGTCATTAGAACTATTATTCTGTTTTGGTTTTAGTACCGCCTCTTATAATTTTTTCAAAGAGTTCATTCCTTAATGTTTAGATTGCAGATTGATTTAGCTTCATTCACTAATTAAAGAAAAACTAAGCTAATCTTTGCCAGCTGCTGAAGATTAAGCTGTGGAATAGTGACTGAATATGTTCTGCAGACATCTATTAATGAAAATCTAGCTTTTTGATCACATGCTTGGTGATTTACCATGTCCCACATATCTATAGAAGAACCAACATAATGTTTGTATCGAAAGTGCAGAGCTTGGTTTAACTTCGGTATTAATTTGGTTTTCACACTATCCAGAGTTCACCATACTCCCAAGGTAACAGAACTTGGCAATCCTTTCAATAATTTGATCTTCAAACGCCAGCACTTTGAGCTTCCTCTTTGAGTTCGTTCATCTTCTCCCACCATTCATCTTTCCACACATATCAGCAAAATCCAGATCTTCCTTTGAGCCTCCACTGAAGTTCTCGTTCTCTTCGAAGAGCTCTCCTTCGAATGATTCCAAAGTGTAGATTAAATAAATTAAATTTTATATATAAACAAAATCTTAAACCATTTATTCAAAATTATAACTAGTAAAACAAAAATTTTACAGAATGAAAATTTTGAAAGAAAAGAAAAATTGTTAAACATGGAAAAAAAATTTAACAAACATTGTGAAACTAATTATGATTGTGTTAAAAAAATTATAATTTTAAGAATATCTTTTCACCTTCCATCCATGTAATGAAAAGTTTTGGGATGAACTCACGTTAAGAATCAGCAATTAGCTTTGTTTGTTAAAGAAATATTAATTGCTCGCATACAAGAGATAAAATAATGATTGATAAAGGAAGAACAATGTGGTATAATTTTATCTTTTTAAAAAATATGAACAAATTAAATTATATAAACTTTTTTAAAGAAAAATAAAATAGCCCTTGAATAAATGGTTTTAGATTTTGTTTATATATAAAATTTAATATATTTAATCTACACTTTGGAATCATTTGAATAGCTCTCCAAAATCACCTCCACGAACTTGAAGAGTGGTTTCACAAATGGAGAATTAAAATCAATGCCAGCAAGTCAACTCACGTTAGGTTCTCCCTGAGGAAGATCTCTCCTGCTCTGACAATAGACAATAAACCAGTTCCCTCAAAAACTCATATACACGTGGACTATACTTGGACAAAAAACTCACCTGGAACATTCACACTAAATTAAAAAAACAAGAACAGACTAGAACGATACAAACAACTGTCACATCTTTTGGACTACAGATCTCCACTAAACTTACTAAACAAGCGACTAATCTACACCACCATACTAAGATCTGTTTGGACATATGGAGCAGAACTTTGGGATTCCGCAAAACACACACACATAAACAAAATTCAAACCACACAATCCAAAATACTTCGTAAAATCGTCAATGCTCCTTGGTTTATGCCAAATCACACCATACACCCAGACATGAACATACCATAAATAAAATCCTACATACACAACAAGTACACAACATTTCATTCCTCTACTCTCAATCATCCAAATCCATTCGTTCTATCTCTATCTTCCTCCCTGTTACCTGGTGAGCCTCAACGACGACTACAAAGGCGATGGCCTAAAGATCTTCTGCTGACAAGTTAAGCAATCATCAAGGATACAAGAAGATAGAATAAACGCCAACACATTTGCTTGATGCGTTACAACGCAGGGGCCAATTTAATGGAAAATAAAATAAAATATTTAAAAAGGTAAACATAAAAATATATTCATTAAATTTTAATAGATTTACTAATTTAAAATTTTGTCCAATCAAGACAATGCTGTTGGCTACTTATGATGCACTCGGTGGCTATCTTCACGCCATTGCGATTCCCATCTTAAATGAAGCATTCTATGCTGGTAATGTTGACTTTACAACTACTTCAAATCTTCATACTTTGCTCGGTACCATGATGGCATTTCTTGGAACTAATGGAAATGGATGGGCACCGCCTTGTGACATGAGGAGGATTCCTACAAAAGTAAGTAATATTTTTGCTATTAATTTGAAGAAGTAATGAGATCATTAAAAACAAAAATATATATATTGTACTGGTATTATAAAATTAATAAATAAATAATCATTAAAATTTCTATCCCTCTTTTGGACTAGCCAGATGTTTTGATATTATTAAATAATGAATTAAATAAAAAAACTATTGGATCATAACTTCTATATGTAATGATAAATTTGATGGACAAATGGTTCATGGACTGTGAATTATTAAGGAACAAATAATTGACACTGATACATTAAATATTTTATTTAATCTATGAATAAATTTATAAGTGAAAATTAAATTACTGCTATTATTGTTTCTTGGTACAGTCTCTCTGGTATCTTTGATCTCATTTACAGGGTGTTTCAAGGTTAAGTGGCCAAACTGCAAAAATGAACTAAGAACCTCAAAACAAGAAAAAAAATTTCCTCTGAAGGTATGCCAGCAAGCGCTTTGTTTAGGAGATATTCACACCTAAAGATTTTCGTTGTTATGAATTATTTACGTTATGTGAAATAAATAAAATCTGTTTATTTGTTTTAACTACTTTATTAATTAAATATAAACATTAACATTCATATTAAATGTTTTTCAAAGTGATTTCCTTGAGCATTAAGACAGGCTCAGCATCTTTCTACAACAGCAGTGACAGAATGACACAGGATATGTGTTATTGTTTCACAAGATACAATTTTTCTTCTTTGTAAGGAATTAAGGTCATTGACTGGACTTCATTCATATGCCATATCCCAATCAATGGATTGGCCATCCAGTGGCTTGGCCTGCACACTCTCCAAATCTGAAACCACTGGATTTTTTTGTTTGGGGCTGAACAAATAGTCTATGCAAGTCCGGTCAATGACCTTAATTCCTTACGAAGAAGGATAGTTGAATCATGTGAAACAATAACGCAGATCCAGTGCTGTTATACCATTGCTGCTGTTGAAGAAAGATGCTGAGCCTGTCTTAATGCTCAAGGAAATCACTTTGAACAACATTTAATATGAATGATAATGGTTACATTTAATTAATAAAGTAGTTAGAACAAATAAATAGGTTTTTTTTTTTTCATATAACATAAATAATTCATAACAACGTAAATCTTTTGGTGTGAATATCTCCTAAACAAAGCGTTTGCGGACATACCTTCAGAGGAAATTTTTTTCTTGTTTTGCGGTTCTTAGCTTATTTTTGCAGTTTGGCCACTTAACCCTGAAACACCTTGTATAATGCTTCATATTCTTGATCTGCTAATATTACTTTACTTGAGGATACGTCTTCATGTAGGTTAGGTCTATGTTCCCTTGACAACTGTGAAAATGATCTCTCAAGAGCTTCCTGGAACGGACAGATAGATACATCCAGGCCAATGGCCCGATGAAGACTGGGGTGAAATGAGAAGAGAGTGGGGATTGCGTCCTCCCATTCCCGACATATTTAACTCCCAACGTATTTTTTGAATTTGAATACTTGATAAATAAAACTCATTATAATATATTTCTTATTAAAATTCAATTGTTTTGAAAAAAATTAGTAAAGCAGCTCAATGAGTACAGCACTGAGCTCCTATGCTCAAGGTCACAGGTTTGATCTATCACACCTACCTGTTGTAGGTAGTTATTTTTTTGTTACATCTGCCATGGATTAATTATTTTAGGAAGAACGTGAATGTGGTAATGTTAATTAATAGTTTGTCCTTCGAAGGTAAGTTAGGAACACTGTGAAGGTACACATCCCCATGAATATGAAAAAAAAATCATTGTTTTGAATTTTGATTCGCTCATTCAAGTTTTTTTTTCCTCACTGAAGTTTGACTCTTCAAGTGCATTGATTGTCTCTTCATTTTAGGATCATAAGTAAAAAACTACGATTCGTCAATCTGCATTAAAAGGAATAAGAGTTGAGTCCGTTGATGTGTAAGAGAAAGCAGCCTTTCTATTAATTACCTATTTAAGCTAAGCATTTATCTTCACAACACGTATCAATAACATTAACAACTTTGACATGAAACCAAATCCAATTTAATACCAAACAACAGAATCGAACAGTTCATATGTAATATTAACAAATGTTTTTATTTAATTGAAAATAATATATGTGAACTTTTTTAGGTTGCTGCTCTTCCAATAAGGATGTGTAAAACAGTTGAAGCATGTGATGCATTTGTCATCAATAACCGTAGCAGTAGCAGTAGTGTGGGGTCTGATGAATGTGAGCCAGGTATATTATTAATATTGATATATTTAAATATTGATATTAATTCATGTTGATTATATTTATATTTTTAAATTGTTCATTTTTGTTTTGGGGGGAGAGGTTTTGACATGCAGCCCACATAAGATTCTCAATTGTTTGTGGTTGATGGGACAGTATCATACACAAATTGTAAAAAAATACAGACTTCACCAATTAAAATAATTTATTTAAACATTAAAATAATATATATTGGTCTTAATGTTCTGATTTAAAGCCCAAGGTCTTCTGACATGAAGGAGTTTTATTTAAAATGACTTCCCAGCACAGCAGTTTTCTTTTAATAAATAATACTAGTAGGACCGTGCGAAAAATTCGCACAGCATATTGTTATCAAATGCCAAATAATTAAGAAAATGCAACTTATCAAAAGATTAAGACATCAAATGTTACTTTATCGATAAATATAATCCACAAAGGAAACAAAAATTAATTTTAATCTTCATTTTTGTTTGGAACCAACATGTATACAAATTTCAGTAAGCTGTATATTTACTAAAAATTGTCCAATTGCGATGATTTTTTTTTTCCTTTTGTAAACAATTTATTAATGTTTTATATAATCATGGGAATAACCAAGGGAAAAGTGTGTAATTTTTCAGTTATTCGCAAATAAAGTTTATTTTCTTTCATAACTTGTTTGCCTGAATTTTCTGGGTGATTGGACTATTTTGCCAGCCTGAAGGAGAAGGAAGCCTTCGAAATTGGTGGCTCAATCTTGAGATTTGGTGAAAAATTAACGATGATATGGCTTGCTGATCAAAAACACCATCGATGAATAATATAAACTCCCCCTCTCTTGATCATAGAGACCTCAAGTCGACGAAATGAGACATGTATTCAATGACAGTACTACAATTAATGTAAGGTTGTGTGGATGCGAACCCTATGCCTTGCGTTATCTCGAAAATAGTACGTTTTTCGGCTTAAAAACGCAGGATCCGATAGTTCCGAAGGAACTATTCGGGTCTTGCTGTACGCATCAAAATCTTTAAGATCCAATTTGTCCTGTATCAATCTACAGACCTACCACCGTGCCAGTATCGAAGCCTAGCAACATGTTTGTATCGACTTTATTTATTTTAGAAAGAAAAACAAAAGTGGAGAATATGATTCGCTAACCCCCCGTGAAATTCTGAATCCAACGGTACTCCATTCCTGGTATTTGAGCATGACAGGAGCTTATATTTGGTACAAAACCGATTTCGAGCCTTACTGTAATAATATATGTACGGATAGCCTCACTTTAGTTTAGGCCTCGGATTCCATTTGAAAAGTGGCAGGTAAGCCATGGCTTAAATGCCTGTTTTTTTGGCTGTGTCTTTCATACCAATTGGGTGTTTGCATGAAAATTCAATGTTTATTCATAGGTGATAATTAGGTAATAACAATAAAAACACAAAATTCACAAATTTTTCTGATATATATATTTGCAAAAATGATTAGTGTTAAAGAAGAATGGTGAAGATGGATCTATGCCCAAAGAGTGGATGTCATCCTGTTTGCTCTTTCTCTCTCAAAAAAAAAAAAAAAAATCATTTCGAGTATTCATAAAATTGTATTGGAAAAAAAAATATGATATACTATATATAAAAGTATAATATATTATACTTCCTGAAGAAATATTGTGATTGAATCTAAATAAATCATCAAGGAGTAGAATACATGTTTGTGGGGTTTGGTAGAGGCTGTGGTCAGAGTCCGCTATAGTTAATTAATTTAAAATTCATAAAATATCATTTCATTTTTGGATAATTTTTTTTAAAAACTTAATTTCATGATTTCTTTTTCTCATAAAAAATGCATATACCCAGTTTTAAAATATACTGCATAATTTTTTTTTTTCTCCTTGACAAACCTGCTTCATCTCTGCTTGTCTTGGGCTATTTGTTTTCACTTATCTGCACGCTATCTATCCATCGGCTTTTTGGCCTTCCACGTGGTCTTCTGCCTTTTATTGAGGCATTCATTGTTACTTAGAGGCTTTCAGATAGATTGCTACGAGCTACATGCCCCGCCCATCTTAACCTCTGTGCCTTCATATCATGGAATATTGATTGACCAGTTTCTGTAAGCAGTTCTTTCATCTCCATGTGTTGATACTCTGATCCCAGATTGCTACGGTTATCGTGTGGAGAATTTAATGTAAAGTTATATTAGGCATTTGGGTGGATGTGTACTGACTTGAATATTTATTTTAAAACAAATATGACTCTAAGAATAATTGTTTTTTCTTTAAAAAACAAATATTAATATAAAACATATCAATTTAACTATATATTTTCGTTCTTTATAATTTTAAAGATAATTTTATAAATGTAAAAAGTTTTCAATGAAAACTTAGGTTATAATTTGGTCTGGGGCTTTTGAAAGTTGAAAATTTTTTAAATTGAAACAAATTTCATCATATTTAAATGATTGTTAAAATTATTATTTTAAGATTATTATTATTTTACAGATTTATTTTTATATATTCTAATTTCTTAATAATTTAAGGCAGTAGCTCCGGACCCTCTCAAGAATCGAAGATACAGATCCCATTTCTAGACGATAATGCATATCCCAGTGCTATTGCGGTGCCATTAAAGGAGCACCCTCTGTTTTCTCTTATGTCTGAATGTGCAGTCAATATTGTACCCAAGTATTATATTTTAGCGATGAGATGTTTGAGTTCGCCCAGTTATTCAAATAAAGATATTATAAATTTTAACAGACAGCTTCATCGATGGATAATTGCAACAGTAAATACACTATTTGATCATTATATAAGTTTATGTTAGATTATTTAGATTGTAGCAATGATTCAGTGATTTTTTATATTAATATAGAAAGTAGACTTGAACAATTCCAATTCGAAAGTTATTAAGCAACGCTTCAGGCTTTATGACATTATGCTATGACCAATAGGTACAATAACTCTTGTTCTACTTTTTCCAGGTTGTTCCTCACTTACACGAAATAGAACGGTGGTATCCTGGATTTGGAAGTATAATGAGGGTTGTTGAAACAATGAACCAAAGAGGTAAATAGCTGAGTTCATATATAGATGCATGAAGGAAGGGAAAAAAAAATGTAACATGAAGGTTTCAGGAGGAAAACAGTTTAACTTTTTTTTTGTTGTGATTTTGGTACAATATTGTAGTTCTAAAGGCGGCTTTAATGGAATGAAGCAGTCAACATCAACATGTGACTGGAAATCATAGGCAACTCAGCCGCAAGACGTATGCTGTCAGCCTTCTCCTCTTGTACCTTGTAGATGGTGGTAGATAATCCTTAGAGAATTGGCCACTATCACGATATGGTGGAACGTTCTTATTCTTTTTCGAATTGTTCATCGTAAATTCTCTCCAAAGGTCTCATAGAACTTCTCTTTTAGGAAAGGGCTGCATTACTCACGCTGTTCTTCTTTTCCTTTTCAAACTGCCTGCCTAATTGAGGTTAATACTTTCAAATGGCACTGTTGTATCCAAGACATATGCTGTCCTCCTGGTCTTAGGGGAAGCAACAATATCTGGTACTTCTTAAATTATGGGTAGCGTCGAAACCTCCCTTGTTATCTAATCTTATTTCACATAACTTCCCTTCTTATCTCCTCTAACTTAAGTTATTCCCTTGTTTATTTTTTGTTCCTAGTGTAAGCTGTTAGTTAGTCTTATTTAATTATGGATGTTGTTACATTGTGGGAATTGCCGTCTTCAGAAGAAGAGGCTGTTAAATATTTTCAAGACACGGGGATATTTGCAAAGGTGAAATGTTGTGATGAAGTTCATGAAGATTAAATGGAGATGCTTTCGTACTTACAGCAAAACCGTTTATATAAGGAAAGGAACGTAGTTAGAGGGGTCGAGGATTTCTTTTTTAACGAGTTTAAAATTCATTTATGGGTTAATTAAAATTCATTTAATGGGGTCCATACTCAACACATAGAACTATTATGGGGCTCAGCTAAGTGGAGAAATAAAAAACATAGAGAAACTGCCAGACAACACCTCGGTTCATATTTATGTGAGTTTTTGTGGCGGCGGGCTCACAGAGAAGAGGATCCATTCCTCGCTATTGAAATAGCATAGAACTATTTTCCCAACCAAAATAAATTAAGTTAAAATAAAATTGTTAATATTTTAATAAATATTAATACGAAGATATAATAATATGAATATCAATAATATGAATCAAAACAATTATATAATTTTTCATCTGTTTTTCAAATAAATATGAGAGAAAAATACAACCTTGTAACGGAGTTCTGCTCATTTTTTATTTTGTTCTTTAAACTATTTATTTAAAAAATATGAAGGTTATTTAGGAATCGGTCAGAAAGAACTCAAATTATTTATTTTTTTTTTTTTTTATGATTTAACAATTATTTGATGATTTTGTGAAATGCTGGAGAAACCAAATGAGTGTAATATAACTCGCCATCATATATTCATCGATTTGAAACAGCCCTATGATACTATTGACTGGGAATATGTGTACAAATGTCTACATTCTTTAGGAATTCCCAAAAAACTTATTAGATCTATTGGGAGGACTTTTAAGAATATATACTGTGAAGTCAAAAGTGGACGTAGATGATCCAAAGGATTCAAAGCAGAGAAAGGATTAAGACAAGGTGTCTTAGGACTGTCAGTTCTGTCTTTAACCTAGTGTTAAAGTCCACGATTTGTAAAATAATTATGAATCCGGGTGGTACCATTATCAACCACCCAATACAATACAACATCTGGCTTTTATAGATGGCATGGTGATCTCAGCAAGAATGCTTCAAGCTTTATCAGGTGCATTAGAAGAGTTTCTGTGAGCTGAAAGGGAACTCAGGCTTGAGATTAATGTCCAGAAGACCATGTATATGCAGACCGCAAAAGAAACCCTCAAAAGCAAAGATCCCAATCTGTAAGACAGAAGTAAGGCAAAATTTCACCTATGGCAGAAAATACTGAACCATTACAGCAGAAAACAAGAGAGTTTTAAAAGCATTGGAAATAAAAGTTCTTTGTTGAATATTCGGTGCACTGAAAGCTGGAGGTGCCTCAAGGTTGTTTGGAGAGGGATACATCGTCTCTTATATCCAACTGGGCCGACTAAAGTGGTTGAGACCTTTAGAGAAAATGGACTCTGATAGAATCCCTAAAAAACTGCTCTATGGAAAGCCAGGTGGTGGACAAAAGTGGTGGAGGCCTTAGTTTATCGATGGCTGGATGCTGTCAAGGCAGACCTGAAGACTTTAGGTGTACACCGCTGAAGAAGATTCGGTACAGATAGAGCCGAATGGAGCAAGCTGTAAATGGAGGCCAAGGCCCCACAGATGGCCTTTAGTGCTAATAAGGGAGTGAATGATGTTTTTTTGACAGACCCCCGGACCATCGCCTTCTTGAATTATCATACTGTCAACCATATAGAATAGAATAGAATAGAAAATAATTTTATTCTGGTACAAAGTCCCTTTTGCATTAAAGCCGATCTGAAGGGACTGGGTTTGGACGGCGAATGGTGGAGGGAGGTGTGTAATAAGCGATTGGAGGTGTCGGCATCGAACCTACAAAGTCCCTTTAAAATAAAAAAAAGTACAAAATTAAAATATTATTTCTGGCCTAAATAAAAACAAACATAAAAAGTAAAAATAAAGAGAAATAAGTAAAGAAAATATATACAAAATAAAAAAATAAAAAATCTAAATACAGAACACTTGAAACCATTCCAAGACCCTTAAAACTATGTAGAGTGGTGAAACATAACAGCACCTTTTTTTTTAGAAAAAAAAATTACATTCTTCTTAGGAATAAGCTCTGTGTTTCTGTAGAAAAAAAAAAAGAGTCAAATCTGATAGTAAGTATTTAAGTGATTATATGTAAATATTTCATTATATGAATCATTATAAATAATATGTAATTTTGTATAAAAAATTAGCGGAGAGTATCTGACTGTTTTTGGGGCAGAAATTGGAATAGGAGGGTTTTAAATTTAGATATGGAGGGAGAATGCCGAATTTTGATAGGAAGGGAATTCCATAAATTAACAGAGAGAGCAATAAAAGAGTTTTGGAATGAGGAGAAGGAATGTAAAAGTTGGAAGGTCGAGATCTTGTTGAAAGGGAGTGGACTGAAGACTTGAATTAGAGAAAGTTGTAGGCGTAAAAAGGACAATGATGTGATAGAGGAACGTTCTTAGGAAATATTGTCTTCAAATAAAAATTCAAATTAATGTTAAAACAAAAAAAAAAATGAATCATTATTTCGTTCTCATTAATAATTTTTAAAAAATGAATAAGACTGTTTTTCCGCTGTGCCGTTCATATAAATAATAAATGTGATATTTTGATCTAATCTGTTTCTTTTACCATTTATATCCTATTTCAGGTCTTGCTTCTACTGAAATAATCAAGATAGACACTAAAGAAAGCAACAGATCTGTATGTATTGATTTGCCTCCGAGTTCTGTTTGCTCGTGGTCTTTCAACGTGGTACCGTGGTTGATAATAGCGGCCATTGTTTTAATTGCATTAATAATTGCTATTTGCTGCGTAAGGTGCTGCATCAACTGCATTCGCTCGAGGCGAAGGTAATGTGCATAACATTTTATTTATTATATTTTTAAATTATTATATAGTTGTGTCATTTCAAAAAGATAGGGCATTTTCCCGGCACGACCTCCACGCACTAATAACATAAAATGTACATCTTTTCTTTAATCACTTTCCCTATCCCTCGAACCTACCTATTTCTCTTCCTCCATTGATGAGATAGAGGAATGATTTCCTCTAATATATCTATATTCCTTAAGACTTACACTTTCCAGAAGCCAGCCTGGTTTATGGGTTAATCAATAAATCAGAGGAGAAATTTCAGACACATTCAAACATCTGATTCCTCTTTCAAGTTTCTACAAAACCTCATCCAATCTTCCTTAGGCCGTACTAAAGCACAATATTTTATCATTCCCTATCACTAACTCTTAATCCCAAGATTCTGATGAACTAAATTCTTATTTTGCTGTTCCTTTTCCTGTACTTCACTCTCCCTCACAGTGTATTTCCATTACTTCCTTTGACTCCTAAACTTTTTATTTCATAAATATCTTTCATGAATACACCTCTATTCTCAAATCGAGAACTAATGACTATGGCCCAGAAATATTCTGAAAGGGGTATAAATTAAAAATATCTTTCAAAGAAATTTAGAATTATGTTACCACTTCCCCTCTCCGACACAGTTCGGTACCTTGGCTTCCTTTTAGACAAAAGACTAACATGGAACCCACATACCAGATTTAAAAGACAACAGCTTAACCGACGATATGGCCAACTATATAGACTACTCAATAAAAAATCTCAACTTTCAGTTGAGAACAAACTATTAATCTACAAGACAATCCTGAAACCTATCTGGACCTACGGACTCAAACTGTGGGGGACAGCAAAACTTTCCAACATCAAACACATTCAATCCTTTCAGTCTAAAGTTCTCCGACCGAACAATAGACAATGCTCCCTTTTATGTAACCAATAAAACCCTACACAATGACCTTAATATCCCATTTGTACTTGACCTAATCCCAGACAAATTTTCCAAATTTCACCAGAATCTCACTCATCATCCAGTCATCCCTACAATCCTCCTCGGAGGTTAAAACGGCAGTGGTCCTGCGACCTTTTGTAAAAATGTATATATTGGAGTACTGGGAATGGCCAGATTCTTTACTCATGTCCTGAGCGTCTGTTGCTCTAGTGTCCTCCATCAGCCTCCACTGGCTTACTATACCAGTGACACGGCTGGGAGAGAAGCACTGGGATCTCCTGGAGTCCTGCTTTGGCTTCCACAGTTGGGGGACAAAGCTTGATTCAGAGTCCCCTGGGCCAATGTAAATATTGTACATAGGTGTGAATGTGTTTTATTTGTTTTATTTTTCGGCTGATCTTTTGTTTTAATTATCTTGTATATTACTTTATCTTTTTATTTATATATATATATATTTCCCTTTTTTATGTACATATTGTGTGAATGAATACTATAGCCCTAGTACCAATGCCCATCAGTGTGGCCAACTGTATTAATCTCAATAAAAGTTTAAAAAAAAAAAAAAAATTATGTTACATTATGAATTAAAAATGTTTTTTATTTTCAATTTTCTAAGTGATTCTTCTGTGAAAACTGCTTTTTAGAACTTTTCTCCTCCATTCTACAATTTAGTAGATATATTTTTAATAATAATAATACTTTATTTATTTTGGGACAGGTGCCTTTAGAATAATACAAAAATATAGAAATTTGAGCTAAGGATCCTTAGAGATACATAATGACAAAGTACATAAACAGTCATAATAAAAAAGTATCAGTTACTTTCTGAATTTTAATCAATTAATAAAAAATAAATTATAAAACATAAGTAAAAATAATTAAGAATGATCTAATAATTTATATACATATTTACAATTTTCGGAGACTGGATGGAATAAAAATGATTAAACAGGTGAAGTTTAAAGGTAGGAAGGGTATTGGAGCGACGGATGTAGAAAAGGATGGAGTTCCACAGGGATAAGGATTGGATAATAAATGATTATCGAAAAATAATGAATGATGAATGATAATGAATGATCTGTCGAAAGCAGCGGTTCGGTGGGCCCTTGTGTAAAAATCTGAAGACCTAGAGCGGGTACTGTGGGAATGAATTGAGGATTTGAATTGAATTTAAATATATATTTTATGATTATTGAATGTTAGATTTATATAACTTTTTTTGTATGAATAGTAAATGTGAAAACAATGAAACATATTTATTGTATTATCAACAGTTCTTACATTTTGTTTAATATTTTTTCTTTATTTTTTTTCAGTAATGAAGCTGATGCGAAAGGTATGAAATTCTGAACTGTACTTTTTTTTAAATATATATTTTTAAAAAAATTAATAAATAAATAATAATGTTCAAAGAACACACAGCAACACTCCAATATGTTTCTAGGCGACCCAGTGAAAAACGAAGCAAATTTGATGTTAAAAAAAAAATTTATAGGGATATATACAGGTCAATATAGTCTCATATTTAACCTCAAGTTGGCATGATCACCCAAGTGTAGATTCTGTCACGCTGTGGACTAAACGGCTTATCATAACATCTGGTGCTATAGTTTTGCGAGGTTGAGGTTTGTGGTGTTTGAGATGGATTGCATATTGAATCTTAAATGGTTTGATCTATTAAAACTATTTGCTGGATATGTTAATCCAGTAAATCCTTATTACTATGAAGTCTGGTACAATGAATTCCTCGTTAAACTGTACCAAATCAAGTCCCCTAGAAAAATGTTTTGATTTTTCTAACTGCTATTTCATGTTGGCCCCTCATGGGAAATAACTTTGTTACAACAAACTAGAAAAGTATGATCTAAATAATCATTCATTCATCACCTTGTTAGAGTTTACGAGGGACTTAAATTGCGATTTTATCAAGCCCCTTGAACTTAATAATTGTGTATCTTCCTTTTATTTATATTCACTGAATAGGAAGATATTAAAGACACTTATTGGGATATACCTAGTTCTGCCATAAGTACTGTTACAAAAGTTAAAATTTGTTTACATCCTTGGGTATTATTTAGATAATCATTACCTCTATCAGGTTATTTTCTTTACATGTTAGGATAATAATCCCAATTAGTTTCTATTTTTCTTTCGCTCAGTTAACATGGAGTGGAGTGATGAAGAAAACAGAATAGCTGTGATCACCTTATACAAAGTTGGAAAATGTAGGTCAGAGATTTTCAACACTTTGAAAGCTTTGGGTATCAGCTGTATGTTTGTGTACCGCACTATAAATATATATAATGAGACCCTATCTGTATGTGACAGACCCCAACCAGGTCATTCCCTCACTGTGAGAACGGCAAATGCAGTTAGAGCATTTGCAGCAATCAGAAGAAATCCCATTCGAAAATAACAAATCATGTCTGGGGAAGTGGGAATCTCTGTCAAATCAATGTCTCGCATAGTAAAAAGTAACCTTAGGATGGGTGCATTTTGAGGAATGACAGGTCAAAGGCTAACCAATTCCCTAAAAAAAACTAGAGTGGATAGATGCAAAGTGCTCCTTAGCCATTACTCCAATGGTCTTCAGAGGAGTGGAAAGAGGTTATCATCCTTCCTCAGTGATGGTTTTGTGGGGAGTTTGCTTTGATTGCATCTCCATTTTTGTGAAAAAGGAGTTAAAACAGCCGCTAAAAACTATCAGGAAGATATTTTGGAAACTGTGGTCAAGCCTCTAAATGATACCCTGTTTGCTGGAAGTCATTGGGTTTTCCAGCAGGATTCCGTTCCAGCTCACAAGGCCAGGTCAACTCAGCAGTGGCTGCAAAAGAACATTCCAGAGTTCATCTCTGCCTCGGATTGGCCCTCAGGAAGCCCTGATCTCAACCCACTAGATTATCGACTTTGATCTGAACTGGAGGGGATGGCATGCACAGAGCACACCCTAACTTGGAAAATCTCAAACAATCTCTGGTTCGAGCAATTAAGCGCTTTCCACAAGAAGTGCTGTGTGCTACTATTGATGACTGGCCATGGAAATTAAAGCAAAAGGGAGACATTTTGAGTAATTTCTTTTTTGTTTTACTCTTGTAGATATACATTTTATTTTTTAATAAAGTTTTTGTAAAAATTAATTTTTCTGTTGAAATCTATATATATTTTCTTGTAACAATATTTATGACAGGACTAGGTATACTGGTCACTGTAAACTCTGATTAAATTCAAGTTGGGATGATTGTCCAAATGTAGATGCTGTCATTGCGAGACAGGGTAGCTGAGTAGGTTAAGATATTTGCAAAACACCTATTGTATGGTAACCTGATAAACTGAAGATAACATGATAAAATAATATAGAGTTCGGGTTCCGGTGCTTGGGAGGGGCTTTTAACTTTGGACTTAATCTCACCCTTTTCCCTGGCCTGGGAAAGACCCTTATAGCTAAAAAATCGAGGAAGGGTAGGAGAAAAAAAAAAATGATGTGTCATACTGTCATACTGAAGATGAAACAGCTTCTTACATCATCTACTGGTGCGATAGCTTTACGAGGTTGAGGTTTGTGTTGTTTAGCATGTATCGCACAATGAATCTTAAATATTGTTATGTAATTAATCATAAGACTTTTTGCTGAATCTATTAATGCAGTTAATTAATCCTCCCTTTTATTTATATCAACTGCCTTGATAATGATTTAATGAGAATAGTTTGTTGATTACATAAGCTCTTGGAATGTTTTTTTTTTCTCCTTCCTGTTCAAGCCTGAATTCATAAAATCTATTTTATCAAAGAAATGTTTTGAAGATTTTTAGTATTTTCATATTTGGTTAAAATGTAAAAAAAATAAAATAAAATAAAGGAATACAATATACCTTAACATCTCAAAAGTCAACATTATAGACCAGGATAAAAATTAATAATGTGATTGATACATCAGTGGCCAGTGGAGGTAATACTGTATTATACTTTAAAGAGCTATTTTTGCACAATAGACCTACAAAAAGCCACAGGATTATCTGCCAGTTAAAAAAAAAAACTACAAAAAAAAAAACAGGTGCTTTAAGAATTGTGTTATTTGATGAATATTCTTTTTATTTATTTAGCTGAGCCCAGAAGTTCTGCTCTGCGTTGTCCAAGCAGGTTCATTGGTGTTATACATATCTCGATGTTTTGTAAATTAATATAAAATCTTGATAGTATCATATTGGCTTTATAGTTTTGTATGTATGTTCTAGGTGCCTATTGTCAAGGTATAGTCCAAGTTACTGTACATAGTTATACGAAGGAATTGGATTATTATCAATTATTACCAGAGGACATGAAGCTTTTCAGTCGGAAAAGCTGACATGGATTAAATTTGTAGTATTATTTAAAATTTCATTTGCCTACAGGATTGTGGTTCTAAAATTGATATCAATATTAATGTCAATATTATTATGTTCCTTGCAATATAACTCTCAACTTTATTTAATAAGAACCATGGCCGCCGTCAGTTAGCCCATAATTATTCCCCATCCCCACTACTTAATATTTATTTTAATTTTTGTCAATGATATTAATGTGTAGATTAAAGTATTTTTATATGCCTTTAAATTAAAAAGAAAAAGAAAGAATTATAAAATTAACTTAATAACATTTATTTGATTTATGAAATATTTAAATAGAATATAAATAAGATCATGGATATGTCACAAATAACAGAGAAAGGACATACTTTTTGGGTTCAGAATAAATCTGCAACTGATGGCTTTCAAATGGTCAGAATCCAGCACAACCACACTGAATAAGCTACAGGGGATTAATGAATGCACTGACCAAGCCACAAGTCAAATGATGAAGACGGGACTTGCCCCTACCTCTTTAAGTGGCAACGGCACAGGTGGGAAGGCATATATTCTGGCCACAACAGTAACCCAACTCATTACTGGAAAGACATATATCCCATCCGCAGTCAAAGAGTTAATGAAATATATTTAAAATTCTTTGGTTCATAAGTAGTTTTACCTTTCTTTAAAATCAGAATGACTTCTGCCTATTTCCGTTGACGTGTTTTTCTAGATACATTTCATAAAATCGACGAGGAATGTTTAGGCTTTGCTTCCAATATTCCTGAAAAATTTTGTCATTATTCTATCAGGACTTGATTTTTCCAGAATTCAGTTTCTGCAATGCTATATCCAATTTAGCAATTCAGAATTAAAAATGTGTGTTGTTCTTCTGTATGACATGTTTAAGGTAATCATGGAGTAATGAGTAATTTTTTTCATGGTTGAAAATTCCTATCCAGTTTGGATTAAAGCTTTTTTCTATAAATGTGATCAAATGCGGTCTTAAAACCAAAATTTCTGTGGTGGTATGAATTATTTATTTGTTGTGACAGCTAGATAACATGCTGAGTTTTACATTGAAATTTTCTGAAACCTGGTATTGACCTTTGTCAGATATACGAAACACTGAATCCATAAAAATCAGATACTATCTTTAAAGTCGTCATAGGATAAAAAAAAAAAAATCTACCATAACAATCCATGAATGGTGTTGAGTTCAGTACTTTGTTAGGTATTACTACATTAAGAGGAATTTCCAAAATTAGATAATAATATCTGGATATTTTAAGTACTAACAATTAATTTCTGTACCTAATCTTTAATCTTGGAGAGAACGAGGAACAAACAAATTTTGATATTTATAGATAACCAAATGGCTATTGGTTGGTTAAATGGTTACACAGTCTAAGTTGGTGAAGGAATGCATAAATAACTAAGAACCAAGAAGGTGGAAGTTTAATGGTGCCTAGAAACACAGCCATTTTAAAGAATGAGAAGGCGGATAGCCTTACTAGGAAGGAATCAGAAAAAGTATCTTCTGCACCATACCTTATCTATGGTATTGGCCTCAGCTTTGCCAAAAGATGTACAAAGATAGCTGCAGTTATTATTACCTCAATCTTATGAATAAGCTTTTTTGAGAAAACGCTAGGAAACATTCGAAGCTGTCCTATAAGATCCTAGCTTACACAGACGATGTGGTAATAACGGTGAATTCAAAAGCAGTGCTATTTAGGATGTTTGAGGAATTTGAAGAAGCTGCAAGAAAATTGGACTTCTGTCATCAAGAACTCTGCTAAAAAGATCGGAAGACCCTATAAATTTTGGGAACGGCACTATTAGGATGCCCAGCCAGTTTAAGTACTTCGTAGCTCTGGTCACAGCAAAGGAACGAGCACTAAGAAGAAATTAAGGTAAGATTAGCTGCTGGTAAAAGGTGTTATTTCACTCTTAAAAAAGATGTTAAAATTCAGAGGCCAGACTAACAGTGGTAACTGAGGTTATTTCAGGTCATTTACAGAAACAAATAGCAATCAATAAAAATAAAGTTCTATTTTTTTTTCGGAGGAGGGAAGGATTCAGCCCAAAAGCCTCAATGATCAGACACACTTGGATATTTATTCAATATGTCTATGGAACAAGTATATATTATCTAATTTAAAATAAATGAATAAATAAACTGTGGGGCTCATCTATTTTAATAATAATTGCTTAAGTAAAGTGTTCACAAAGATTCATTCCGTGAGTACACCACAAAATTAAATTTTGACCCACCTAGAATGGATTCAAATCTTCATTGCTAAACTAGAGAAACTTGAAGCGAATAATGTTCAAACCTCATTGACAGCAACATTTATAATAATATTAATACTTTATATATTCTGGGACAAGTCCCTTTAGAATAATACATAAGGACAGTAATGTGGACTAAGGAGCCTCAGAGATACATAAGAAGAAATGTTGAGTAATGAAATAGTCATATTAATAATTATATGTTACTTTCCCACTTAAATAAGTTAATAATAAAAAAATTTAAAATAAAGTAAAAATAATGAAGAAAAATCTGATTATTTATATACATATTTACAGTGGTATCTATTTACAATTTTATGGGGACTGGATGGATAAGAAATGATTGAACAGGCAGGATTTAAAGGTAGGAACGGTATTGGATTGAAGGATGTGGGAAGGGGAAGTTCCATAAGGATGAGGATCGGATAATGAACGATCTGTCGAAAGCAGCGGTTCAGTGGGCCCTTATGTATAAACCAGAAGACCTGGAACGAGTATTGCGGGAGCGAACAGAGGATTTGAATTGGAGGAGCTCGGAGATGTATGAATGGCGGTGGGATTGGATGACTTGAAAGGATGCCAGGAAATACTTACGACAGTTGGAAGGGTAAAGCCTCTTCAACTCTACATAAAAATGGGAAACAGAGTGTATGATTATTCAATATCGAGTAAAAATCAACTGTTCTTGTTAATCTTCATAGATAACAATAATTTTTCTCTTTGAACTATAAACAACCAATTTATAAATAAGGCTACACTATCAGTGTATGACAAAAAGATGTGATATAATTTATTATAGATTAAAATTATTTTTCTATTTACATATATTTATAACTTCTGTAATGTATACATTTTTATAATTATTCCTCTGGAAGCATGGGCTCCAGAGATTTTGGCACTCTCTGTCCCTCTCTGACGGCGGGCCTGATAAGAACTTCAGTTGTTTGATTTTCATTATTTTTCCAGACCATTTTACGAACACGCTAGTTAATCTATACTGTGGAATAAAAGGAAGGCAACCACCTTTTGAAGGTAAACAAAATTTAAATCATAATTTAAAATAAACTTTTACAAATGTCATTATTTCATTTTATGTTTAAAGGAGGGGAAACATCTCAAGGCAGATCTAGAAGAGGATTCGGTTCATCGGTGAGTTTAATATTATTTAAACATTTTTTTTTTTTAATTATTACTATTACTTTGAATTTATCTTTCGATTAAACGGTTTAACTCCATATTTAACCACTTGAATGTAGAGCCTATCCTTGTGTTATAAATGAGTAAGCCTAATTTTTTTCAAAGCTTCTATGAACTATTTTTTTGCTTATAATGGCCTACACTCTCAAACCTTCTATATTGAGTTATCTATTCTGGCCCTGGCACCATTACTATATTATAGATCTTGCCCCTTATTGATAAGAATACTATGGATTTCTCCAAATTAACATTTTTTGGGATGTTATACTGTAGAACTGGGACAACTCTAGATTCTTTCATAGATTAATTTCTTTCATATGTTTAAATAGAAAATATATTTTTCTAAATAAATGTTTACCTCATTTGCTAGGCACCATCCTACGAAGGTGAATCATCTGATGATTATGAAACTGAATGAAAACACGTGTTTTCATTACGGTTGAGTGTCTTCGATTCGATAACATCAAAAAAGTTTACACAAATGAAGAAATTATATTAATTAAAATCTTTTGTGATCCATTTTTTCTCATTTCTTTTTTTTAGGAATAAAATTTATAATTGATTTATATATTTAACTAGTTGTGTAATAATACTGAATTAGATGGTAGTGTAAATATATAAATAGTAATAAAACGACTATCATAAACAATCCTTTGAAAAATGATGCACGTTTGTAAATTTAATTAGCATTAAAGAAAAGTCATGCAGCAACGGCAAGAGATTATTTTAATTCTTATGTGCCTCTTGGTTAGTTTTTTTTTTTTAGGTGTATGTCTAAAACAACTTGATTTCTATTTATAATCCTTAATACTTTATATTTTTTTCGTGTCCTACAAGTACCATTTACAATGTATATTTTAATTTTTATTATTTGAAAAATATTTTTATTTTTATTATTCAATGAATTATCATTACGGAATTAATTTTTTATTACCGAAAATTTATTTGCTTTGTCTCTAATAATTAAATTAATTAATATATTCTTGGAATTTTATTTTTAAATTTGTCATATATTTCCAAATTACAATATTTCCTTTTATTTTCATCAAAGTTTTAATAATAGAAAAATTGTATTTATGGATTGGTATTGCGCAATTAAAAAAGTTTTTTTTTTTCATATCTTTATGAGACATACAAAGCATTATCATAAAAAAATATATATTTAGAAATATGTGTTGATAGAGAAATATAAATATTTTTTTCATAACTAAAGCGTGAAGACGGAATGCATAGATGTTTAATATATAATAAAAATATAATTAAAACTATTCAAAAATGTATAAGGAAAGTCTATTTTGTCATGAAAATATCCATGGACCTAAATTACATATGATGGCATTCTATAAAATAGTTTTGTTACTGTTCCATAGCTAAGTTTAAACTGATATTTTGTTTTTTCTCTTAACCTTTAATGCTACTTACAAAATATTTACAGATATACCTATTCATGTTTAACAATATTACAATATTATCTTCTAATATATGTTAATACATTTCAATTAGGGTAAAAGTTGACTGTGTACTAATACTTGACATCGTCTCCATAAAATGAGAATAATAAAATTTCAGGACCTCCTAAACCCCTATTTTATATATTTTTGGTTTCTATATTTTCTCCTTGTATATTTGCTTGCTTTGTTTTAGTCTTGTCAGATATTGTAACTGAAATAATGGGTGTCAAATTAGTAACGTCCCGCATGGACGATTTACTGTCCCAGGAACAAGTAGATATCAGTTAGAGCACCACCATACCTTAGGTTTGCCGTTTTTTCTTTAACTAATTTGATTTATCCCAATTTGTTTGTTTTATTGTTGTTTTTTTTAATGTTTTTAAATTATGTTCTATCTATCTGTTTTTAACTTCTCTTGATGAAGTAATTGGGAATTTAATGGATGTTAGCTAAAGGAGTCTTATAATGGGACCTTTTAGTAGCTGACAGGCCTGTACTATCATAAATTCAAAAAGATATACTTAATATAACGGTTCTTAAAAATGGATCCATTCACTATTCACTCGTTTAAATAAATTCCTAGTGATTTGACTTAAATATAAAGTAAAAATAAATTTTTTTATTACCAAAACCAAATTCTTAACAATGACTAGCATTTATCGATAAATTTAAGATTCAGTAAACAAAATGAAGTTAGATTTATAATAAGTTGTAGATAATTTTTATTAATATATATATATTTTAAAATGATAAATATAAAATTTTAACTCTTTATTTCAAATCAGCTATAGGAACAATCCAAATCAAGCAGTGTCAGCTACAGGTGTACCAAAACTATTCTCTAAATTTATGATTTTTTAAAATTTAGATGGATATTTCTTGGATTTAAAATATGTCTTGATGAAGTGAGAAATAGTTCTATAAGATGAATCCAAGAAAAATACGATAACATCAATATTTAACTTTTTACACGTAAAAGGTTACGTATACAAGTAAAAATCATCGTCCTTCATACGCCTACAACCTTCTCCAATTCAAGTCCTCAGTCCACTCCCTTTTCACAAGATCTCGACCTTCCGACCTTTACGTTCCTTCTCACAGATCTGCCTCGTTCCAAAACTCTTTTATTGCCCGCTCTGTTAATTTCTGGAATTCCATTCCTATCAAAATTCGACATTCTCCCTCCCTATCTACATTTAAAACCCTCCTATTCCAATTTCTATCCCAAAAACAGTCAGAAACCCTCCGCCAACCTTCTATGTAAATTTACATACTATTCAAAATGACTTACATAATGATATATTTACATTTAATTCATCACTCAAATACTTACTATCAGATTCGTCTTCTTTTCCTTTTTTTTTGTTGTTTTTCTGCAGAAAAACAGAGTTTATTGCCAAGAAGAATGTAATGTATTTTTTTTAAAGTGTATACTTATATTTTACCACTGTACATAGGTTTAGGTGTCTTGGCACGGTTTCAAGTGTTTTGTATATAGATTTTTTTTTATTTTGTACATAGTATGTTTAACTAATATTTTCTTTACTTTTTTTTTCTTTATTTCCTTTTTATGTTTATTTTTACTTAGGCCAGATATAATACTTTAATTTTGTACTTTTTTTGTTATTCTAAAGGGACTTCGTCCCAGAATATAATTATTTTCTTTTCTATTCTAAAAGTTCAAAGGAAATTCCTTAACCATGTCAGCTACTCTTGCAAATACCCTATATGTATTTATTTTGTTTACAAAAGAATTGTTTTTGCTTAATGATAAATAGTACCAAAACTGCTAATTAATAAAAATAAAATAAATGAAAATAAAGTTGTTTAGTTTTAGAAATTCTACGACTCAATTATCATATTTAAATTTTACTTACTGGTCTATATTATGTTATCAAAGGAGATTTTACTTAGATAGATACCAATTGTTTTTAATTAGATTCAATTGAGGTTCATCAATGACTTTCTACATCTGCATCAAATTGATTAAGTATCCTTTTGTGGATTATGACTATTATATGTTACAGAATGATATGAAATGATTTTTTCAAGACTGTTAGATAAGTTGTTTTGAGTTATAATTAAAAGGAATTTAATTTAATAAGAAGGTTTGAATTTTTAAACATGTATTTATGAAGCGGGAGAGAAAGTGGCGCTTAAAGCGGCCGGTATGAGAACTATGCCACCTCCACGCCCTTCTCAGTTGGCTCCACTAAGCCTTTGGTGTAGTCTAGTTGTAGTTGGTCGGAGGGTTCAGTGCTCTTGTGCGCGGTCCAAAGTGGGGATTAAACACACAGGCAGATCAGGTGGCTGACTTTTTCGTAAGTACTAGCTATTATCTAATGATTTTTGTAAGTATCTTTCGAAAATTCGGAGGAATATTGGAATACTGCAACAGCTCGGGCCAAGTGAGAGGGGTGTGTCCGTTTTAAAAGATGTAATTATTACATCTTACCCTGCGGGAATCGATCCCGTACAAGTGGGTTGTCAGACGTCTCCTTCGCTGGAATGGCGATCGTTGTTCGTGAGAGGAATGAGCTGAGCTGACTTAGCGTTCCTTTTATCAAGCCGCCATAAAACAATGGCCGCCGGTTCTATGAAATCAGCTCCCAATAATATCGTCTTGATTTGAAGTGATTGTTGCTTTTTTATTATTATCTCGCAATTAATTAATTACTTTCTCATTTCACTAGTGTTTATTAATTGAACATTAATAAATTAATTGTCTTTATAGCTATGCTCAACATTTTTTCTTCCCATAATGATAATGTCAAATTTTGATATGTGATTAAATTTCAAGTTTTTATCTTTAAAGAAAAAAAAAATTGAACTTTATCACCTAAAATGACTCACCAAATAAAGTCTTTTTCATTTAGCTATTATAAACAATAAATTTATCATTAATATTGATAAATTAATTTACATTTCAAGTTTATTACGGTTGCACCATAATATGCTTGTGTATTATTGCCTCCTTTAATTAAGAAATTCCATCATGTACGAGTTTCAATGGAACTAATCAATTTGTTCAGGCCTCTTTTACCAAAACAGGGTTAAGTGACTTCATTTCTGGGAACTTTGGTTAGTTGATACATAATATAAACTTCTTTATATGTTTCTCAAATTATAAATCATCATAAGTGCTACATTTTGTTAACTAAGTAAAATAATCAACTATATTAATATTTCTATATAAGTTCTAATTCATTTAATTCAATTTCATTTTTATAGATACTTGATTTTTCTTTGAATATTGAAATGATTGACAAGTTTATCATGTGTTTAATTATTGTGCACTGATAAAACGTCAGGTTACCCACTTATAGTTTTCAGGCTAATTAAAAATATTTTAAAATTAAATTTTATGTTATATTCCTTTAGAATTTTTGCATGTATATGTTTCATTATCTTCTGTTGTTTTTTTAAATATACATTTTAGATAATCATATTGAAACAGATTTTCATTGCCCAAATTAATTATATCATTAAGTTTTTACTTAAAAATGTAATAGTTACAATATCTTGATAATCTTTCACTGTTTTTATTATTTACTGATTGAAAAAACCCAGAATAAGGAATATATTCTATTTATAATCATGATGAAATATCAACCATTAATTCATTTCTTCATTCTAAGATTAGAAATATTTTTTTTATCCTTATCAGTTAAAATGCGATACGCCTACATCTTCCGAGTGGACAGTTTAATTTATTTTTCTTTACTTTTTTTTTTTAAAACTGTTACAGAAAAATAAATAGTTTATCTAAAGAAAAAAAAAGTACATTACTTTTGCTACAAGGACGTGTGTATATTTAAAATACGTAAACATCTAAGGTTATTCTATAAGGTTCAAAAATAACGTTATCACGTTTCGTAAACTCAATTTGTTATATTCTAATTTATTAATATATATAATAAGTATATGTATATATTTTTTTGTTTATTTATTAGTATAAATGAATATCTAATGTGTGATTTACAATGTAAAGATTTTGTTAACAAATTGTAAAGATATATTATGGGGGGAAAGAAAAAATTGGTTTATATATTGAGGTTTCGTTTTGTTGGATAATTTCAGTATTGAAAGTGAAATATTATTTTAATGTTACATGAATGGAAAATATGTCGATTTTATCACTTTTGGATTAAATAAAGAATTTCATATCAATTAGTTTATTATTATTAACGTCTTTTTTTAAAAAAGAAGTGTTTTAATGAAAACAAAAACTGAATTCTTTCTCTTGTTTATGACAAATAAAAAAAAAACGAACAAACATTGAAAGCTTAAAAAATGGCACTTTTAAGAGATAAATGTTTTCATTGTTGACAGGGCCTTCTTTGTCAAGTGTTAAAACAATAGCCCTTTTTTTAACGAGTTACCAGTTCACTGGAATTTTTTCTTTTATTCAAATAAAAAATATAATGTCTCGGAATATTTATTCTATTGTATATAAATATAACATTATAACATTATATAAATTTTGTCGAGCCATATTGGCGTTTTTATTTACATTACTGGATGTGTAAATAAGCGACGGTATGTAAATATATTTATATATAAATATATAAGGGGCTGAATCCTTCTCCCCTTCAAAACAGTAAAATATAACCATGTTTAATGAAATAAATTTTAAAAACTTAAACCCCCATACCAGACTTAAACGACTAGAAACCGCCCGACGTTTTCGACTACTGCAGCACTTATTAGACAAACGCTCTAAGCTCACAATAAAATACAAACGACTCATATATATGACAATAATAAGACCTATTTGGACTTACGGAATTGAGCTTTCGGGTTCCACTAAACCATCGAATTCCTCTCGTATCTAATCCTTACAATCCAAAATCCTTCGTAAAATCCTCAACGCTCCTTACTTTGTCACAAATAAAATCATCCATAAAGACCTTAATGTTCCGTATGTTTCCGATTTGGCCCAATCCAGATATCTATCCTTCCATAAAAAACTGCAGAACCATCCGAATCCTCTTGTTTCAAACCTTGCTTCCTCCTCGATCCCTGATAATCCTCCGAGGCATCTGAAAAGAAGATGGCCTCGGGACCTTCTAATATAGAACTTTAATTTGAGTTCTACCAATGGGTAGTTTCTCTTCATGTTGTACATGTCATGTTACCAATGTCACATTTACTTATTGTATTTTCCATGTAATACAGTTGTAAATCTCAATAAAATAAAATTAAAAAAAAAAAAATTATTTCTATAAGTATTATAGTTCGTGTAATCACATTTGATAGAACTTCAAGAATCACTTAAACACCATTTCATATAGAAAAGTAAGTAGTTTCTTTCATTATCTCTCAAAATAGTAATCATTTCCAAAAAACAAAACAAAACTCCCTCCCCCAAAATTCAATCCTATATCTGCTAGTGTATATATGTATAAATATATTTAGCAAATTTATTAATGATGCGAAACCTGGAACTGCACCTCATCATTATAGCAGAAAATTAGAGAGGTGTCCTTCATTCTTTAATAGATGTTGTTTAGTCAATTATAGCCAGCAATATGTAGGTCAACTACATTAAGCAACAAAAAAAAATTTAACCTTGTAAAGATGTCTTTGCCAGGAAATATTTTTAAATTAATCATTTTAACGTTATATATTTATCCTATATATTATTTCTAAAAGGTGTTTTTTTTGTCGGTACGTCAGCACTTCTTCAATTCTTCATCAAATCCAATGATTGACCTCTCATTTTGAAGATATTCTTCTCCTTCTCGTGCGAAAAATAGTCCCATCCCCCGAAATTTATGGAAAATAAGTTATGAAGGAAAAGAAACTTATTTGCGAATAACTCAAAACGCATTTTTTTCTTGATTGTACCCATGATAATTAGAAAGATTACTAATTTACCTACAAAAACAAAAAAAAAAATCGAAAAAATCGATTAGGAATATGTATAATTTAAACAATTTGTATTGACCTAAGGATTAAAGCGTGTTGAAATATTTTTGAAAATAGATAGAGAGTTGAGATTTGTATTTCGCAGCTCGAAAGACCCTCGAATACGAATTTTCATTGAGAACGAAAAATTAAGAAAAAAATTCTACAAATTTCAACCAGTTCGTCGTGTTCTCCATTTTCTCCGTAAATATAAAAATTGTGTCAACTTCACTCATATTTTTATATTCTAGCTTAATTTATTTTGTTATGACTGAAGAAAATTATTGGTCTTGTTAATTCTAAACAAACAAAAAGTTGAATTTTTCCTATGGATTTTCTGTTCTATTCATTTTACGAGTGAAAACATATCTATTAGGTATATATCACTACTGTAAAAGTTTTCAATGTTTATTCTATTTTTGACATTATTTAGTCTGCAATTGATATTATTAGTCTAGAATAAGAGGGCAATAAAATATAAAATTACACTAATAAATCATAAAGAAATAATTAGTTTTATGCTCTCCTGTAAAACATTAAATTTTTACTTATCTCATTTGCACTAATAGTAGCGAGATTCATATTCAGTATACACTGGAATTTTTTTTTAATTAGTTATTATCAAATATGTAATCTGCAAATGCTGAACTTTTTCCCATTTTAGTATTTGCTGATAAACAAAATTCGTTGATATCAATGTATATGTTGAAGGATTACTGAATTTCCCAAAACGGCTTCTTCCAGAGATTTTATTCTCATAAGGCAATTTTTAGGCCTTATAATGTTGATATTTTTTAGCAGCTGATCGTACTTGGCAGACTTTTTTTTTTGGAACACTGCAATCTGAACACTAACTTGTAGAAACTATGGTGACCAAGGTAATGGATGCCTTGCGGTTTTGCAAGATCTAATTTGAAAAAAAAATACTAAAAAAAATAATCTAAATACAGAAAGCTATTAATATTAATGTTATGTTAATTTGTTATTAGTGGTCTTTTCGTTCGTAATGGTAATTCACAGAGATTAGTCCTTCATTTTCCACTCCTTTAGTTTTTTTTCGAATTATCTTCCTACTCAGTAATACAGTTGTTGTATTAGTACTGTACCCGTTAACGAATAACAACTTTTTAAAATAATTTTTAAAAGAACATATTTGAGAAGTACAGTAGCCCCAATTAGACTAAGCATTCATGAGTTTTTTAAATACCTGATATAATAAGAGACAGAAAATTAAATTAAGACAACTTTGCTGATAAAATCCTGAGAAGATAGAACAATTTCACATTACGGTCCACGTTAGGATTGTAATCAATTGAAGGAAAAAAAATTTATTAATAACAATTTTATTATTATTATTATGTACTATTTTTTTTTTGTCTACCTTTATATCCCGTGGTACAGACCCTTTTTT